ATTATAAAAATACAAAGTTTGGTTTTTAATATACATATTCCCGCAAAATTACTTACTTGAGCACTAAGACTTACCAATAAGTATTTCTTTAATTTGTTGTTAAATATGTTTTACTGGTTCACGTCGAATACGAGAAATATTGAGTCCATATTGAGAAAGTACGGTAGAAGTTTCTTTAAAGGTATATACCCAAAGTAATTATTTACTTTAGGTAAGTACTACAAATTTGCCTGCAGATATAAATCGTGTACCCTGACCATGCTTAAAAATAAATTATGTTATATTAATGACATACACAACAAAACAAAAAAAAAATGTGAAATTAAAGCTATTATATGTGTTGCATACTCTGACGTGTCACAGGTATGACGCATGTGTCATCAACGACTAACGACTATTAATCATTTGCGCTACCTACATTCTTTTAACAATCACTAGAATTTTGAAATCATACCTATATACTCGTATATTGTTACAAAGTAAAACCACAGCGTGTGAGTAATTATAATAGCATTAATGGAACCTGCGTAGTGGCGAAATTAAAATTAGTTCGCAAGTTTGTGACAGTTCTTGTTGGCCATATTTATTTTATGCTGACGTCATAGTCTGTTACCCGCGCAAATTGATCGAGATAGCATTTGCCCCAATCCGACTCTCCAAGTAATGGCGACGTAAGATCAGTCTACTACCAAAAATAATAAGGAACTGATGTTGCCAACCCGCCTGCCTAGCATGGCAACTATGGTAAAACCCCTATGAGGCAATCTATGGGGTAGGCCTGTGTTCAGCACTGCTACTGTTGCCACGCTTGGCAGGCAGGTTGTCAACCGCAGTGCTTGAGTTGTTATGAAGAAGATGCTGCAGCCCATGTGCAGTTTTAGTTTCCCTCTGTCGCCTTTTACGAAACCCACGGAACCATACGAAGAAGCTTAAAGTGACTCAAATACCTATTTGAAAGCGACTGTCTGAGCTCCACTATAATAGACGAAAAGATCGCAGATCGGCCATAAAACAGGTCATGTGCACGAACAGAATGATCGGCGGTGGCCACTGGTTAGGTACGTAACATTAGTCCTCGTAGTATTTCATATTCAGCTTATATGTCTTCGCAAATAGAGTTAAAGGTAACCCATATAGGTGCTGCAAAAAATATTAGGTGCTAACACTTTCACTGAGATGATTTCTTATTTTACACTAATATTACACACATTACGTAATTTGAGTTAAAATAAGCACGATAAGACTAATAATATTATTTTCTGCTACTTGGTCACAACACATACCTATTATATGAAAGCTTTACAGTAAGAAGTGGTAAAATTAAAAAAAATTTACAACCAACTTCTATATACTATTATTAAGGATAACTCAAAAACTATTGGTCAGACCTTGATCAATTTATATGGGACCACGTGAGAAGCACCAGCTTACAAATAAAAAAGAGTCATCAAAATCGTTCATCTAGAAAAATATTCTGAGGTAACACATATAAAAAAATCATACGAGTATGCTTTTTTTATAAAATCATACGAGTATGTTTTTTTTATAAAATCATACGAGTATGCTTTTTTTATAAAATCATACGAGTAAGTATGCTTTTTTTATAAAATCATACGAGTATGCTTTTTTTATAAAATCATACGAGTATGCTTTTTTTATAAAATCATACGAGTATGCTTTTTTATAAAATCATACGAATATCCTTTTTTTATAAAATCATACGAGTATGCTTTTTTTATAAAATCATACGAGTATGCTTTTTTTATAAAATCATACGAGTATGCTTTTTTTATAAAATCATACGAGTATGCTTTTTTTATAAAATCATACGAGTATGCTTTTTTTATAAAATCATACGAGTATGCTTTTTTTATAAAAATCATACGAGTATGCTTTTTTTATAAAATCATACGAGTATGCTTTTTTTATAAAATCATACGAGTATGCTTTTTTTTATAAAATCATACGAGTATGCTTTTTTTATAAAATCATACGAGTATGCTTTTTTATGTGTTGCTTTTTTTTCAGTACCGCCTCTTTTTTGAAGTCGGTAGAAAACTTCTCTAAACCTGTTAAAAATTATTGCAATGCACTATGGATTATCAATATTAGTTATATCAATATCAAAATAAATATCGATTTAAGATTACGATTTACATCTATATATTGTATTTAAATAAAGTATTATACTGAAAGGTCGCCGGCCCACACGCGACAAGTGTTTGTTCCTGTGGATATTTTTTTCTAACGAATTTTCAAAAACTCGTAGCTTCAGGGATATCTGCTTGTTTGAATAACAAATAACAGAGGGTCATGGCCGCCTATCGACAATAATTGTACGTAGTACTATTAAGATAAGGTACAACCAAGTCACTTTCGCCTTTCGTGACCGAGTTGTACAAAATTTATTATCATAATTTGTTATTTGGAAGTACCAATACTTCGGATACATATATTTTAGAAATCCGCGATCGTACCTACCACAATAAGACTGTCAGTGTATTTTTATGTTTAGTCGTCCAATAGTTAGTAGTTTATCACCTGACATTTTTGAACTATACCAAATAAAATCTAAATATTTAGTACTGTATTATGACTGCAGCAATAAAGAGTCGGCTCGACTGGAGCAGGATCACGATGGTACCGATTAAGGCACACTAGGCACTCGCCTGGAACATCATCACCGCACAGAAGGCATTGGTTATTAAACTTCTGATCAAAAATTATATGCTTTATTAAGGAAAAAAATGCATGTTACTGGTCAATAAAAATAAACTAAATGCATTTAGATTTGATTTATTGTGAAACATAATTCAAAATGGAAATAAAATAATATAGTACGAGAGGGTAATATCGTTATCCGGTTAATATGGTCACTTTCTAATAACTAAAAAATTACAGCCTTGTTTGCATGGATAGCTCTGTGATACAATAGCTCTTCACTAGTCATTCAAATAATAAAGGGTCAAAAGGGCGCTGCTAAATACTTTAGTCGGTTTTAGTACGTATTATGTAGTGAAGTTAGTTTTGTTTAAGTTGATTTTTCGAAGTGTTCCTATTGTTTGCTATTTGTTTCTTAATATATGAGGTATAGTAACGACTTTGTGTTTTTCTCTCTGTCCTCTTCATAATTTTAATTTTATATTGCGACAAAGCCCTCACTTACCTTACGATAATTTTTTTGAAAATTTGTATATTAAATTATGATAATTCGCAATGTTTTGCTCATATTTCATATTGCACGTATATTCATTAATAACTATGCAAATTGATAGTCAAAAGGAAACCTAGTAGCTCAGGTTTTGTACTTATAGGTTGTTTAAAATTATATTTTTTATATAGCGATATAATATGGGTTTCCGCCACTAAAGTAGGTAAACCTAAAAATTGTACTGTGCACCAAAAAGTAATGATCAAGTACCGAATTGACTTTTCTGATGATGAGGCATTCAGTTTTAGCCCTCAGCAGTGAAAAATATCCAATAGGATCGTTGTTGGAATCTATATCGTTATAGGTGGAGTACAGGTCCGTTGAATACCAACTATCTAAAAAGAACGGACAAGACAAACATTGTACACGTAAACTTACAGCTCGATTCATTCTAAACATAACCCTAAGTCCATGCAACGAAATCCACATTGGATTGCAATCGTACAACAATGCAATGCTAAACAATAATTAATTGTGAGTAGTGACTCGATTTGCGCAGTTTCGAGCATCATACATGGAGTCATGTACGTAAATAATACACCAGATTTTTATTCAGAAAAATTTTAAGGCCATATTCAGTAACTAAAATCGTCAATAATTTCGCTTCCGTCCACTGCGTCCCGCGCTTGTGAACGATAGTCAAGTTGACATTTTCGTTGTGCTATTTAATAGAAAACTATTCAAATTAATGAAAATGACATCTCAACCATCGAAGTCATATGTACTACGTACTAGAAGAAACGTCGAGAAGTGCCTGTTTGCAACATGCGTTAGTGATACTTTGTGTTATACAGAATTTCTTCGCGGTATCTGTTCTAGTACATCTACTGACAGAATACCAGCGTAAAGTAGCATCTTAATGCTGCTGTGTTTCGTATGGTGAGTGTAGAGAACCGCGGATACCCTTTTATTAGAAACGAGACTTTCCATCTTAATCCTCAGGGGTGACAACGTATCTGCATTTTCATTCATCATCGAGGATTGATGTAGGTGTCTATGGGTTACAGTATTCACTTGCCGTCAGGTGGACTGTGTGTTCCTTTGTAACCGTTATTCTATAAAAAAATATATCCTTCCGATTTCAACAAGCAAATACACACAGTTTAAAATTATTAAAAACTGAATTACAAATGTGGAAATCTATGGTGGAGGCCTATGTTCAGTGGACTTTTATAGGCTGTAATGTTATCAAAAGTCCAGTACTCAACACAGGTTTCTCATAGATAGGAATTTTGCCGTAGTTGCCATGCTTGGCCGGCGGGTTTGCAACCGCTGTTTTTAGTTGTTATCAAAGACATGCTGCTGCCCATCTCCTTCCACCTGTTGGTAAGTGGTTGCTGTGGCCCATAGACATCTCCATCTATCTTCGTTTGCGAATTAAAATGCAGATGTGTTGTCAGCCGTGAGGACTAAGATAGAATGCCTCTTTTCCAGTAAAACGGGTCTATTCGGTTCTCTACACTCACAATACAAAACACAGCAGCGTTAAGCTGCTATTTTACGCTGGTATTCTGTGAGAGCGTGGTCCTTCCCCGATCGAGCCGACCCATTCGTGTTACAACTATACTATTAATATAGCTGCAGCATGGCTCTACCACGTAGTGTTTCAGTTTCTGTTTCAGTTTCCCTCTGTCGCCTCTTACGACAGCCACGGGACGATACGGGGTAATGGATATTCTTACACCGGGAACACGGGCACTTTTGATAAGCTGTAATAAACGCAAAAAAGATATTTAGATATTTTCAAGTTCTGTACGTGGTAATATAACAATATTAATTTCTTTTTCAGGTTCCAAATTAGCGAGCCTTGAAATGGTGGGTGTGAGCGGATGCCCGGAGACAGCCAAGGAATGCGTCCTCAAAAGAAACACTAACATCACAATAAGCCTCGACTTCACACCTTGTTAGTAATAACTAAGTATTGATTTCATCAGATTCTTATTAAAAACTTACACCCCGCTACCACAGCGTTACACCCTGGCTTCGCACGGGTGATTTCTGGATCTCGGCAACATGTCCACCCACCGGGTCCAATTGTGAATTTAAACCATTTAGAGACCCACTCAGACACAGACAAAATTTCAACAGAATCGGTCGAGCCAGTTTCGAGTTTTAGCGAGACTAACGATCGGCAATTGATTTTTATACATAGAGATGCGACAGAACCCCCAAATGGTTATTGATACGGAACTCGAGTCGTGGTTCGAATTCTGCTCCGTGGCGCAGTGGCTTAGCATTGAGTTGTCGCGCTGAGAGCAGCGGGTTCAAATCCCGCACGGAACAAGTATTTGTACGGTCTGCAAATAACTTTGCCGGGTACTCATGTTTATCCGTGTGCAATTTATGTATGTAAACTGCCCTCACGACACAGGAGAAAATCGTAGTGTGAAAGTAATGTTTTTTTTTTAATACCTAAGCTTTAAGAGTTAGGTATATGATTATCTTGAGTTATTTGCATATATTATGACGTAGTTTCATGCATGATTAAATAGAAATAGTTTGATAATTTAAGCAATCCATCAGTAAACGTAGTTATTCTAAAAACATAATTTATAAATTGCAATAATATTTGCTTTGGCTAATATATATGTAAAACCCACGACACAGGAGAAAATCCTATTGTGGAGGTAACGTTTTATAAAATAACTGGCTGGCCAGGCAGACGTTGTTCTGCCCTTTCCGACGACCCTTCCCATAAAAAAATCCTTAAATTCGCAATGAAAAAATATTGAAAGTCATTTATCGGGTTAAAAATTATCCTATCTCTCAAGTTGGAGCAAACTGAACACAGTGTACAAAATTTCATTGCAATCAGTTCAATAGTTTAGGAGTTCATCGCGGACAAACAATGTGACACGACGTAATTTTTATATATAAAGATAATAAAAACAAGAATCTGCCATTTCACTACTGTAGTGAACACTAACACACATATTGTAAGCTTACTTGGAGCGGTTAATGCGATAATTTTCTTTTCATCATCTTCACTCTTTAGTGATTGATTGATGACTTTTTTACATGGTAGAGCCCCGATGCAGCTATATTTTAGTTGTAGCACGAATGGGTTGACTCGATCGGGGAAGGACCACGGTTTTACAAAATTTCAACGCAAAATAGCAGCTTAATCCTGCTGTAACTTGTAGCTTGTATCTAGTGTTGCCCAAATGCAAGAACAAGACGAGACTTAGCCTGATCTTGGTCTTGGTCTTGCAGCAAGAGTCTTGCAAGTCTCGCAATTACCTATTAGCCTATTGTTATTTATTAAACTTTACTTTAGATCTTAGAACAACAGAGTAGGTAGGTACATTTTGTATACTATTTTCAGACTGAAATAAAACAGTAAATCATGTGTCTCGCCGATTATAAAAACAAATGAAAATATGGGTGAATTATAAATACATATTAAACACTTTAATAATCTATAAGGTACCTGCGGGTAAGGGAAAACCGAAAATAAAATCAGAAATATCTAATGTTGGTCTACAGATTTTAATAAAAATCATTATTTTAGTACAGTTTCTATAAAGTATGAACGCATGCCATGCCATAAACAAAAACAAAATTAAACATTTCTAAACACCTTGCTAGTAGGTCTTCTGTTAGGTACTATGGTAGGGTAATAAGGCCTACTTCTTTAACGAACTCTAATAATCAATTTATACGTAATATATTTAATATTTGTGATTAATAATCACATGAATGCAGTAATTAAGGTTTAAAATTCTAAAAAATATATAAATTGTCTCGCCTAACAGTACTTAATGTCATTAGTATAATGATGAACAAAGTCACAAACAAACTCACTCCTCGTGATTATCGTCAGGGCTTCGGTTGTGTCTCGAGTTGATTTGAGTGTACTGCCAACCAAATTTCTGTCACAGTAGCCAGTCACTACCGAGACTAGCCAATCAGCACAGTACAGAATTATAATACCCGAATGTATGCGCAAGCACAGGTGCACTCTCTATTCCCTCACACTCATCAAATCGCAATCCGACACGGTCCACATAATTTAATAGCTTCTAATGTCAAAGCCTTAATTCTTCGACACACTTTGTCTTTGCACTGTTTGGACAGCTGAAACCAGGCCTTTTCCTGACTACGACATTAGTTTCAATAATAAAAGCGTACGCTTTATTTGCATTTATAACATTTTAAAAGTAATATAAAATTCATAATAATACAAAAAACGAGTATAATAAGGCCTATTGTGAAATTTTGTAGGCCTAATAACCACCGACCAAGTATTTAAGAAAAAAAAACTTAAAAAAAATGGCCACAATACGTACGTACTCAAATCTGCAAGATCAACAAAGCATTTATTCAAAAAGATAAAGATTACGATTTTAGAATGCTAAGTGTAATATTAAAAAACATACCTACGATTTATTTGGGCTGATTTTTATTATCGGTGCAGTCGGTCGTATCTTATGATAGATAAAGCAACTGGGGTGGCAGGACGCGGTGTAGTGCGTCTCTGCAAACTTGTAGAGACATTATCGTGCAATAGGAGTCTGTTATCATCTCCTTAATCGAGTGCGGTTATTATAAATACGATTTTTGTTCCGACAGGCCTTATTACCCGCAGGCACCTTATATATAACAGCGAAATACCATTCACTCACTATCACGATATCTCAGGAACTATAAAACATACAAACTCGAAGTTTGCAAGATAGGTTCCTTTTATGACATAGAGGTCAGCTAAGAAACGGTTTTGAGAAAATCCACCCCTAAGGGAGTGAAATGGGAGTTGGAAATTTGTATGAATATGAAAGTCCTACGTTTTTGAAGTTAGAGACATGAAAATCGGCATTTTAGTTATAAATTCGAAATAATAATAACCTGTATAAGCAATTTTCCAAAAATCACCCAAAAGGGGGTGAAATGTGGGATGAAAATTTGTATGAAAGTCCTATGTTTTTGAAGGTAGACAGACACTTGAAAATCGACATTCAGGTTATTAGTTTTAAGTAATAATAACCTCTATAAGCAATTTTACGAAAATCCACCCACAAAAAATCGGGTTGGAATTGGAAGGTTACATGAAAGTTCTATGTTTTTGGAGTTAGAGACACGAAAATCGGCATTAAGTAATAAAATTCTAAATAAGCTGTTTTACGAAATCCTAACCCTAAGGGGTTGAAATTGGGGTAAAAAGGTTACATTCAAGTCCTATATTTTTAAAGTATAGGTATGAAGATCAACATTTAGGTTATTCATAATAATCAGTCTTGGTCTTGGTCTTGGTCTTGCTAAAATGCCAGAACATGACCAAGACTACAAGACCGAGACCGGTTTTGGGCAACACTACTTGTAGCTATGGCAAGTATTTACAAATATCACTTTTTAAGTACTTTTATTTCTGTATACACTTAATATATTACATTTTTAATTGCTGTCCGTTAGTGTCGCTAATACTCAAACGACCCGACCGATTTTGATTTGAAATTTTTTGCATGTTTTTGAATGGGTCCCTAGATGGTTTAGATTCACATTTGGACCCGGTAGGTGGCGCTGTTCTCCAGATCTAGAAATCGTCCGTGCGAAGCCATGGTGGATAGTTAGTTATTAATATAATTTCATGGGGTGTTAAAATAAAGAGTAATTTGGTAAACCGATAACAACTTACTAATTCCAGCAAAGGATGTAAAATCCATAGAAGCAGAAGTACACGGTGTGATCATGAACCTGCCAGTGCCGTTCCCGCTCCCGCAGCCCGACGCCTGTAAAAACAACGGACTCACCTGCCCATTGAAGGTTTGTTTCTCTTACAAGAAATATATATAATTATCTGTCTCAGCAGTGGAATTAGTGAATTACAACCACCTGACTAGAGGTCAATGTACGCGTGGACGTCATGTGTTCTCAACATGACCTAAAATTAAAAATGATATTCACATTTCAGTAGATTTAAATAGGTTCAAAAAAGTTAAAAAGTACTGCAACGTTGTTTTAAAGTGAAATCACATAAGATTTATCTGAAATTTTCCAGGCCGGTCAAAAAGCAAGTTACGTGGCGACGCTGCCAGTTTTGAAATCGTACCCCAAAGTGAAAGTTGACGTCAAATGGGAATTGAAGAATGAAGACGATGAGGACCTCATCTGCATTTTGATTCCCGCAAAAATCAACTAAGGGACCACATGCTTACTTAAACAGGACACTTTTGCAAAAGTCGTTAATTATATTTTAAGAGAATCAGCAGGTATTAGGTTGTAGGCTTTGAGATCATTTTACCCGCCTAAAAATAAGATTGTGTCAGACATTTGACAGTTATGGAAAAGGATCCGTTGTCTGTGAGTACAATTGTCCACAACATAATATTCTATAATATAAACTAAAAAAGTTTAACAGAATATATTTTTCTCTCGTTCAAGTTCAATTTTGGTAATCTCTATTTTACCCATTTTTTATTAACTCAATTTCGGGTCTGTTCGGGTCGAATTTAGTAATTGATTTTAAATTAACTTTCCGGTGAACTAGAGATTTGAAATTTGGAACATAGCTCAGAATAGATTGGCAATGAATATTTAAAAAAAAAATAGTTTTATACTTTATAGTCACTAAAAACGTGGTTTTATTATAAAATTTTACCAATTGACTTGCTACTATATACCTTTATATGCAATGCAAACCATTTTCAAGGATCTTTATGACACAATTATTACCTAAAACATTACATAACTTAATTTTATTCTGTTATTTATAATTTAAACATTGGATCTTTTTAATGAAATTTAACACTAAGTTACTTTGCGTGTATAATTTAGATATTAAGTAGGTAAACTGTTTCCTATTGTAAGTGAAAAAAGCTTAAGTTTTACATAAAAATTAAACAATTTCATGTTGAAATATTGTCTGTATATCATAAGCATTTCCCAGTTATTTTGTAAGAACTTAATGATTGACCTATAACCACAAAAGATCGTAATTTTTTCATCTATCATGTCTTGCCTCGAAAGATTTATCTACAACCTAATATTTTCACCAAAGCTAGTTTAAAAAATGTAATAACTTTGTGATTTTCATATGTGTTGCATCTATTTAATAAAAAATAAATAAAAATCAAAAAATACTTTTTTGTATACTTATTTGGATGGATCTTATACGGATACTACGTGACCTGGCAGACATTGTTCTGGTTTTTACGGTACATGTCTCAAAATTCACTCCATATTTTTACACTAACACAAAATTCACAGCTCATTCAGCCAATCTGTCAGTGATTATTTCGTTGGGCACATTTTATAAATTATTTGGCGGTAATCTCTACTCTGTGTGACCACACACGACTGTTTGACCACAGACTATTGTTGTGTTTGACAATTGACATTGGAAGTATGAACATATTTATGAATGTTATATTTTATTTTATTCAATGTATTTGTAACACATATTATTTATAAATTTTAGATTTCTGCACTCCTCGATATAAACTTAATACTAAATCACGCACTCCTTCCTGCGCGAAATGTGTCTAAAAAGGGGTTGCAGAGACTATTTATCTTAGATTAATTTCCCAACATTCGCCATAAGAAACGCAGCAAATCGTAGGCAAGTTACCTTCATCATCATTTCATCATTACAGCCCTTCACAAGCCCACTGCTGAACATAGGCCTCCCCCAAAGAATGCCACAAAACACGGTCCTGAGCCACCTGCATCCATCGACTTCCTGCATGTCTTACCAGGTCGTCACTCCATCTCGTGGGGGGACGCCCTACACTTCGCCTACCGGTACGAGGCTGCCACTCGAGAACCTTTCTTCCCCATCGGTTGTCGGTTCTTCGAGCTATATGGCCGGCCCACTGCCACTTCAGCTTACTAATCCGTTGGGCTATGTCGGTCACTCTGGTTCTACTGCGGATATCCTCATTCCTAAGTTTATCACGCAGAGAAACTCCGAGCATAGCCCTCTCCATAGCTCGCTGAGCGACCTTGAGCTTCCTCATACGGCCAGCAGTGAAGGACCACGTCTCAGTTCCGTAAGTCATCACTGGCAACACGCACTGGTTGTACAATTTCGTTTTAAGGTTTTGAGGTATGTCTGACGAGAAGATGTGTCGTAGCTTCCCGAACGCTGCCCAGCCGAGTTGAATCCGTCGATTGACCTCTCGGTCGAAGTTGGACTTACCCAGTCGGACTATTTGTCCCAGGTAAACATACTCGTCAACAACTTCGAGCTTAGTGCTCCCAACAACTACCGGCATAGGTGTGACATGGACATTAAACATGATCTTTGTTTTGTCCATGTTCATCTTAAGACCTATCCGTTGGGAAACACTATTGAGGTCATTGAGCATAGTGCTTAGGTCCTCCAGCGATTCTGCCATAAGGACTATATCGTCGGCAAATCGAAGGTGAGTGATGTACTCGCCATTGATGTTGATACCGTATCCTTTCCAGTCCAGAAGCTTGAAAATGTCTTCCAATACAGCGGTGAAGAGTTTCGGGGATATAACGTCACCCTGTCTTACACCTCTCTGCAATTGGATAGGTTTCGTACTCTGGTTCTGTACTCGGATAGCCATCGTAGCCCCACTGTACAAGCACTTCAACACTTCGATATACCGACAGTCAACTTGGCACCGCTGAAGGGACTGCAGCACCGCCCAAATTTCGACGGAATCAAAGGCTTTCTCATAGTCCACATACGCCAGACATAGTGGCAAATTGTACTCTTCGGACTTCTGTACAACTTGCCGAAGGGTATGTATGTGGTCTATGGTGCTAAAGCCCTTTCGGAAACCGGCTTGTTCGGGAGGCTGAAAGTCGTCAAGTCTGCGCGCGAGACGATTCGTAATGACTCTCGAAAACAGCACGTAGACGCGGCTCAGAAGGGAAATCGGTCTGTAGTTCTTCAAGAGAGCGTTGTCACCTTTCTTGAAGAACAAGACCACCGCACTTCTGCTCCACGCCTCCGGTGTAATGCCACCATGGAGGACGGAATTAAAGAGCTTCTGAAGGACTTCAAGTACCGGTCTTCCACCCGCTTTCAGAAGCTCCGCTGTAATTCCATCCTCGCCTGGGGCCTTACCGTTTTTAAGGTGCTGGAGAGCCATCCTAATCTCGCTCAGACTGACATCCGGGATATCTTCGGGATAGTGTCGGATGAGACTCACTCTTGGATCGTTACTCACACTTGCGTGTGGCTCCAACGATGATGTGTACAGCTGCCCATAGAACCTCTCAATCTCACTCAAAATCTCAGGTGTCCCAGAAACGATGCTGCCACATTCTGTCTTCAGCTTTGACAGTTGGCTCTTTCTGGCAGACAGATCTCTGGCAAAGATTTTGGAGCCTTGTTTCCGCTCGATCGCTTCTTCAATACGAGCTGTATTGAAGTTGCGTAAGTCCCGCCGCATGCATTTGGAGATCTGTCTGTTCAGATGCCTGTATGCTGTCAAGTCTGTTGAAGAATGTAGCTTCATCTCCCGTCTAACAGCCATGAGATTAAGAGTGTGATCGGAGAGTTTTTGTGTTCTTCTGCGGCGGGTCTTGCAGAACTTAGCTCCGACCGCATGGACAGTTTCCACGAGCTTGTCATTCATATCGTCCACTTCATTGCAGTCTTCCAGGCACTGAAAACGGTTTTGTAACTCGAGCTGAAAGGTTTCGGGACTTTGGAACAGAGCACAAGGGGGACGGAGCGTTGACTTCATTAGACGAGACCTCTCCAACTTAACGTTTAGGTTCAGTGTGCCTCTAACCATTTGGTGATCGCTACCAGTTTTCACCCTCGCGATCACGGAGACATCACTGAACAGTTGTCGTCTGGTCGTCATAATGAAGTCAATCTCATTTTTTGTGGAACCGTCGGGGCTCGACCAGGTCCACTTCCTGTGGGGCCGCTTCTGGAAGAAAGAGTTCATCATAAAGAGTCCCTCTTTCTCCATGAAGTCGGCCAGCTGCTGGCCCCTTGGGTTCCGTTGCCCTATTCCAAATTTCCCTACTTTCAGCTCACCGTTCTCTCTTGTGCCTAGTTTTGCATTGAAGTCTCCCATTAGCACCGTATATTGGGTTTTGGAGGAATGCATGGCTCTAGAGATATCCTCATACATGTCCTCCACCTCCTCATCGGGGTGTGCCGAGGTTGGTGCGTAAACCTGTATGACCTTCAGCGAATACCGTTTGGTGATTCTGAGTATAAGGTACGCAACCCTCGTCGACACACTCCCGATCTTTACAACGTTGTTAACGAGAGACTTGTGGACGATAAATCCGACACCTCCTTGGGACAGATGGTCGCCCTCCCGGTGATAGAGCAAGTTGCCGGATTCGAGGATTACCGTGTCCTCCCCCTCTCTTCGGACTTCGGATAATCCTATAATATGCCAGCGCAACTTGTCTATCTCTTCTTCCAGCTCCACGACCTTCTCGTCAGTCCTCAGGGTGCGTGCGTTGTACGTTGCCAGGTCGAGTCGTCTAAGGTGGCAACCGAACCTCCACCGGAGATTCTTAGCACACCCCGCCCCGCCGTTACCATGGTCGCCACCGTAGCCAGGAATAGCGGGGCCGCCGGGGACTGGGGGCCGTTTTTTTTGTTACTGTCATTCATAGGGTATTTGCCATAGTTGCCACGCTTGGCGAGCGGGTTGGCAACCGCAGTTTTTTTATTGTAATTTGGCTATTATCAGGAAGATGCTGCTGCCCATCTCCTGCCTGTTTCCCTTTGTCGCCTTTTACGACACCCACGGGAGGATATGGGGTAGTGGATATTCTTGACCGCCACTACACGGCAAGTTACCTTATGAACACAAAAATAAAAAAACCGGTTAAATTTGACAAGTATATTTGGACGTAGTTAAGCAGAAAGGACTCAATCCACACAGTGGTCAAAATTGAGTTAAGTATGCCATCGTACTCCTGAGGATCGAAACTATCATGTAGTGAAAACCCTATTTTTAAAATGTACACGGAAGCTGATTTTTTTCGCTACCCCGACTCAACCCACAGTATAAAGAGCACACAAAATGTATTCGCTGAATTAATTCAATCCGCTTGAATTGTTTCTAAGTAATGCATTTCTATGAGTATGTACTTAATGTCGAAAAACCAGGATGGACTCAAACGGTTTGGATCCTTTCTGAGAAATAGTTTTGATCAGAAATATCATTTTACCAAATAACTGAAATGACTCAAACAGGTTGGGTCGTTTCTGCGTTATGAGATTACTGAGACAAATAATTATTTTTTGTTTATATTTATATATTTGTTATATATTTGTTTCAGAGAAACGGTTTTAGTTGAACAGTTCACATTACCTAATAACCTAAATAGACACAGACGGGCTAAGTCTTTTGTAAGCAATAGATTTAATGACGGATACAAATGCTTGTAATGCATCTGAAATAACTTAAAACTTTTGGCTTATATCTGTCTAATGAGTATTAGTAATATTGAATCAATTTTATTTTAGTTGGAACGACTAAAACAATGTATCCTCATTTTGTGAAACAAGTCAAGCATTTTATGGAGTAAATTTATATGTTTTGCATTGTTTATACATGGCATAGGTGAAATGAAACTATAACTAATTATTAATTTCCAGATATTTTCTAAAGTGGCCACTTTTTGTCGGTAAATTACTCTCAAAAACTGGTAACTCTGCCATATTCTCGCACACTGATTGGTGAAACACGTGTTTTGTTTTATTTCGATAATTTTTCACCACTACCTCCGATGTCACCAAATGCATTAGAGATGATAGAAACCCTTTGTCGAAAATTTTCTACAGTTGAACATGAGTATATTGATATTTCAAAAAGACGGCGCAGTAAATGTGTGAGTTACGAGTATAGTGATTCTAAACAAGATGGAGACTGACGCCGATACAAATTCTGATTATGTACCCGACAGTGGAGAGGAAACTGGTATTCCGCATTCATCTTTAAAGCAAAATAATCGAAACAACGTTCAGGTTCTCGAGAGCGACAGTTCGGACGAAGATATCATACAGAGGGGTTTGATTTCATCTCACATTGCTGCACGATAATCAAACTATAATTGACAGAACTACACAAATGCGACGCATTGAAAGCCCGCTCATTGTTTCAAATGGCATTTGCAACGACACAACGGTAGATGAACTAATTTCAATGTATCAAGGCTCAGATATTGAAGCAGTTCATGCTGAAGCCGAAACTATTCGTCGCGTTACTAAAAATAATGATGCACTGCAAACTTTGGCCACTCCAAATGTGGATGCAAAAGAAGGTACCCAAAATATTGTCTCTCTGAGAAGAAAAAAAATATATGATAAACTAGTAAGACCGAAAGTATTCCATGGTTATTCGTGCACCTGCAAGCAACGCTGTTTCTTACTTGTACTAAAAGAAAAACGAAAACAAGAGTTTTATAAGTTTGTAGCATTGAGGTCGTACGAAGCTCAGCTGTTATACATTTTAAATAATGTTAAAGAATCTAAAAAAGCTCTATCATATACTTCCACCAAAACCAAAACCAGTAAGAAAAAACCTTGACAGTACAGAAAAATATTTGCGAGAATGTCGTACTATGTAAGGAATAGTTTTTGAAACACTTTTAAATCTCTTCTAAAAGAGTTGACATGTGTATGGCCAAAAAACGATCAGAGGAAACTTATGAAGACATGGTCAAAAATATGGTGGTTGGAACAAAATCCCTGAAGAAGATATAGATTTCGTGAGAAATGTCATTAATCGCCTCCAAAAATACGAATCTCACTACAGAAGAGAACGATACAGAGGCACTCAATATTTAAAACTAGGTATGCCTATCCAAAAAATTTACGACATCTATCTTAAAGAATTCAAAAATGTGTACGGCAGCGAAAAGAAATACGTCTCTTTTGCTATACGCGCGTATTTTATGCGTATTTCAATTTCTGTTATAAATCCTTGAAGAAGGATACTTGCAAAAAATGAGATTCATTAGCCCTTCAGATAAAGAAGTGTTATGTACCAGAAGAAAAATAATTATTGATCCAGCAAAGATATATTTATCAAATAAGAGCGGAGGATCTTCGTAATCAAATGTCCTAAGACTTAGCGCGTGCTAAAACAGATCCCAAATTTTAATGTGTTAACTGCGATCTCGAAAAAACCCTATATTTGCATAGCATTTTAAAAACGTAAGTTATGGATTTATAACGCTGGGATACACGTTGGCTCTAACGATCAAAGACGATGCAATGTGTGGGTTGAAGGGGAAGCCGGAAGAGAAGCTCAAGAAGTTGGCTCGTGTCTCATTAATTTTATTAAAAACCATTTGAGGGATGGCGTAGTAGAGAATCTACTTTTTTGGAGCAATTGCTGCGGGGGACAAAATAGAAATACAAAATACCCAATACTTAAAACGATAACTTTAAAATATTTAGAGACTGGCCATTCCTTCTTGCAAAATGACAGTGATTTCAGCAAGATTGCATGTGAGTTTAAATATCACGAACGGATTTACACCGCAGAAGAATACATAAATATCATGAAGATCTCTAATAAGAAAAAACCTCATCACGTTACTAGAATGAAAACACAAGATTTTTTAAGTACAAAATAGATAGAAAAAAAATGTACAAATAAAGATAAAGTAAATTGGCTGAAAACTAATCAAATTTTATTGAAAAAAGAAGATCAATACTTAATTACTATGACATCAGAGAGTGGAGATATTCAAAAGCTAGATTTGTCGAAAAGAAGCAAAGGTAATTTAATACAATTTTCAGAAGAAGATTTTGATGTCCTTTGGTCCCAAGGAAAACCCATACGTAGAGCAAAGCTTGATGATCTCAGATCTATGTTTAGTTTAATACCTGAAGACTGTCATACATTTTACAGTAACCTTAAAGGAAACAGCAATATCAGAGAGGATGTTGATGGATATGGGCCAACTCTTTATTTTGAATTAGAGGAGAATGAGAGAAATTGAGACAAAAATTTGACAAAAATGAGGCCCGTTTTACTGGAAAAGAGGCATTCCATCTTAGTCCTTAACGCATCTGCATTTTGATTCGCAAACGAGGATAGATGTAGATGTCTATGGGCCACAGCAAGCACTTACCATCAGGTGGACTGTGTGCTCGTTTGTCACCCTTTCCTATAAAAAATGATAAAATTTCTTTTGATTCATTTTTGCGCTGTTTTTCCCTATTTTTTTTATTATTATAATGGTGTTTTACGTGATTTTGCTAGTCTTATATTCAAGGATAATTAATATATAATTTTACTCATTTTGTTTTCTTTAATAACTTATTTTCTAGTCGAAGAGTAGTTTTGAGTCCATTCTGAGAAAGTAAAAAAAACTACCTGTCTTTACAAACTTAAGTTTAATTGTAAGGACTCAACCCACATTTCACTTAATATTTCGAAATCTATTGCAAAATATGTCATTATTTTGACAGACAGATAAAAATATTGACTATCTTCTTGATTAAGGGGCAAAAAATTAAAAATATAACTTTTTCTTAGACGAAAAATTACAACTGAAACTTCAAACGCCTCTAACTCAAAAGTGAATTTGTGTGGATTGAGTCCTTTCTGCTTAACTACGTCCATTTATTGTGTAAATAATAAAATATATTTTAAATATTAATCGCTACCTAACTGCCACAATACTATGACACCGAGGCGACAGCACAGGATCAAACAATTTCACTATATAAGCCTTTTCAAACCCATTTTCTAATAAATACAGCAATCTATCTAACAACAAAACACTCTCAATCACCTGCGCCAAACATAACCTCAACAAATAAAATAATACAACTTGTTTCCATTGACAATTCAAATCTCTAGACAGTTCTTTCAAGTAACTGTCAGGTAGCCTGTCAAACAGACCCAATGCGAGCACGCTGTCCGCCATCTTGAAATACTCCGTAAAGTCATTACAATTTGTAGCTAACCGCTTCAGTCTCCCTTCAGTTAAAGCGAACCCTGGCACATGTCTCTTCACGATCACCTGGAAAAGTATTTTTTCTCGGGAGTATATTGATGTGCATTTAAAATCCTTACGACACTTATAACACAAACTTGAAATAAAATGTTTTTACCTGAAACAAGGCTCTGTACAGCAAACTCTTTGACGGCAACTGTTTCTGAGACACGACCCTGTCTATAGACTGAGCGGCGAGCATCCTAGCGTTCCGTCCCAGGTTATAACCTAAAACATTATACAAAGTCACACCTTTGCTCACCGGGACGAGACTGGCACTAAGTACCTTTATTCCCCATGGGATGTCAGTACTACAAGCTGTATGGTCGACTTATTGCTGCTTCAGCTTACTAATCCGTTGAGTTATGTTAGTTACTCTGGTTCTGCAGATATCCTCATTACAAAGTCTGTCACGCAGGGAAACTCTGAGCATAGCTCTCTCCATAACTCGCTGATTGACTTTAAACTTTTTCATATGACATGGGTAATATTGACATACAAAAACAAAACTTAAATAAAGACCTACCTCTCAAATACTCGGACATAGGGAAACCATGTACTGATTCTTGGCCACAACCGTAATCCCTTTGAAACGCATCAAATAGACCAGCATCTACTTTCTCGGTGAGGAGGTGGTAGCAACAAGGGACATTGAATAGGCCCATGGTCGACGGTTGTGACTTGAATATCTTGAGAGAATCAGGTCCCAAGTTTCCGCATGTATGGAGTCCTGGAATAAAGGCATAATTTATCTGATGTCCTTTATAGTTTCTGTTTAACATTGTATATAATATATCCTACTTTAATTAGCATAGGAGTTGGTCTAGTCTCTCCCCCCTCCGAACGGCCTTGTCGTGGCGGGGCACTTAGTAGCAGTGGTAACGTTCCCATGGTAAACTAAGAGGACCAACATGGCAACATGGTCAGAGGTAAAGGGCCGGCTAAAGGCGGCCACTCAGAGTGGGCTTTGTGAGAAGCATAGCCTATAGGACCACCACTGGGGTCATGAAGGCTGGTGCATCCAAGTGCTCGTTATTTCTGGCCTCATGGCCTATGTCTATCGGACTCGGGAGTGAAGCTGAATGACGCAGAGGTAGGTGCGCCTTGATTTCTGGTGCGCCTTACCTAAAAAGAAAAAGAGTGGGTTGTTGTTCGGCGCTGGTGTGGCCGCGGATGTGTGCGAAAGCGTTCCCGTAGTCCTGCCAAAATGCGGCTAAGGTGGAACACAATGGGATTTTAGTCGGTGCGAGCCTTACATAACCCGTCCACGCTCCCGCGAAGAGGGTATGCGTAGACAATACCCGTGTCAAAGAAAGGAGTTCACCTAGCTTATCCAGACCACCATGAACTGTTATTGAGATTCTGTTTGAAAGACAAGTAAACCAGTATTATTTCCTGCAGATCCGAGTTTCGGTTACGAGGACCAGTCATCTGCACAGAACAGGTATATAGTGCCAGAGTGTATATGCAAATACAGGTGCACTCTCTATTCCCTCACTCTCATAGTCCGATGGGACAGTTATCCGACACGACCGGAGAGAGATCAGGCGCATGACCAAACCGCTTTACATGCTTTCTGAGACACGGGAGAGAAACCCCGTCAACTTCCTGACTCTGAGCAGCTGCTACTGCTAATTTCTTTACAGAAAACCCAATAATTTTGACAACAAGAACATTTTGACCCGACCGGGGATTCAAACTGAGGACCTCATCATCAGCAACTGCATTTATGACCAATAGACCAGCGATGCAGTTAACCAATGGAAAACTAGGATATACAGTCTATCATCATCATCATTACAGCCCTTCACAAGTCCACTGCTGAACAAGGCCTCGCCCAAGGAATGCCACAAAGCACGGCCCTGAGCCTCCTGCATCCATCGATTTCCTGCATGTCTTACCAGGTCGTCACTCCATCTAGTGGGGGGATGCCCTACACTTCTTCCGTCGGTACGAGGCCGCCACTCGAGAACCTTTTTTCGCCATCGGTTGTCAATTCTTCGAGCTATATGGCCGGCCCATTGCCACTTCAGCTTACTAATCCGTTGGACTGTGTCAGTCACTCTGAATCTACTGCGTATATCCTCATTAATAAGTTTTATTATTACGCAGAGAAACTCCGAGCATAGCCCCCTCCATAGCTTGCTGATGTGAAAAATCGATGCTCCGGAAAGTCTGAAGTCTGTGAACACGTACAGAATTGCCCCCGTCATACATTAGATTTGATAGACCACAAATCCTCGCTAAAGAACACCGATTCCTTTCAAGGATGATTCGCGAGGCTCTTGAAATAAAAAAAAACATCCTAATTTCAATACAGGTGGCTGGGTGCTACCACCTGCTTGGGATCCTATAATAAAATTAAACCCCAAACCAAGTATACAAATGCAAGACTAAGAGATACTGTAAGTTCATAATGCGTAGATCGGAACGAAAATTAATTATTTTAATCTAATAAATTTAAAGTATGACATTGGGACATCCTCAACAAACACCTCAGTCCCCCCCACCCCCGTGACCATGGGTGCTGTAAAGTGCCCGAAACGTCGGGAATATCATATAAGTTAATATACGCGATATAAAATCCGTAAAATCTAGTTTTATTTAAACATTCTAATTTAGTCCTAAAAGTAAAAGTAATAATGCACCCATAGCCTTCTTGGTTTAGTGAAGGCAGGTGACAATGAGCTGCAGAAGTCAATACTGACGCTGCTTCTCATCACTGAACTATGTGTTTGTCTGATGTAATTATTGAGGTGGTTACTTTCCAGCTTGTGAAATTTAATCACCACTTGGGTAAACTAGATTAACATACCTGTCAACAGAATTTTCACATCTTTATCACAATGCTCAGGAAATGCATTCCTCATAATTGTTGATATATCAGTTTTAGTTGTTACAAAAGCGCTTGCAAAGCGATGAATGTCACATCTTATACTCTCACCGATGCACTCTTCTGTTCCATTAGTTATTTTCTTGGCAATCGCCTGCCATTGTTTCTGCAATAAACATATCCTTAACACTATAGTGAAGGTGTCGTTTACCTTATTATAATGGAAACACTTCTACATCCATACTTGTAATTTATAAAAGGTATGTGGCGAGTTTTACACTTTATTTGTTGAAAGTTTTAAATATTTATTCTATTCTATTATTTATTAAGGTTTTTCAATTGTTAATAAATATGCGTAAATTTTGTAAGATATTACCTATTAATAAATTAAATTATGTACAAGCAGACACGCGCCATGCATTTTTATGTATTTGCATAACGAAGGAATGTAAAACTGGTTCGGTCACTGCGCCCGCGCCTTCGGAAGTCGGAACAGCAGATCGCCAGTTCGTTCGCTTCCGCGTTGCACGTCATACGTATCCCATACCCGTTGCCTGCCTAAGACCCAAGCTTACGCAGTTCGTATAATTAGATTCTCCCTCCTATATATTATTGTATTCCTGTCTACTCATTTGTACCTTCTGTATTGTGCTATTATTGAACTTTATTTCTGTGTGCCTAGCGCAATAAAAAATGTAAGTGTGACAAAACGGACTATTAATTAATCAGCCCCCATACGCACTTAGAGGTATTATAGTACTTATTGGTAGTTATTATTTGTGAATAAATAAATAAAAATTTCCATGTTTAAGGTCTAAATCGTTGGTAGAGGTTAGCGCGACTGTTGATCATAAGGTCTTTGATTCGAATCTCGGATCAAAATCAGATATTGGGTTTCCCCCATAAAACAAATACAAAGAGGAGACAGCATAAGCAACTGTGCACTGTGATTCTAAGTAGGTCCTGACGTCATCATAGTGGGCGTGGCTTTAGTTAGTATACTGTCAGCATTCATCCTGTGCGATAATATGTTGAAAATCGCAAATCGGTATATTTTCGTAGTATTTATTAAGAAGAAAAGGATGGAGTGTTGTGTTTTATCGTGTAAAAACTACTCAGATAGATGCTCTGATGCTATGGATGGCATCACATTTCATTTGTAACTAATTTTACACCTAATTTATTAAAATAGTTCTAGAAAAAGCTCTTTGTGTCGGCTTTCAAATATAATTAAATATATTCGACACTAGATGGCGACACTTTGTGTCATGTTAACTAAAAATATAAAGATACGTAACGCTCAGTATTGGTGAAATAATCATACGAAGGTGCTGTTTGTTTTGCATTCAGACCTAAAGAATTTTTAACCGCCAAAATATTATTTTTATAATCATTTTGTGAACATGCCGCCATTTATCGTCAGATAGCTAAACTACATGGCAACGATTCGAGTAGTTTTACTATTTATCGGTAGATGTAGATAGCAAAGTGGGCGGGGCTTAACATCCCCGCAAATTGTCACGCGTTGTTACATAGTGAAATCTAATTACAACACCTCTTTGTATTTGCTTTATGGTTTCCCCCGTGTATCGGGGAGCACGTAAAGCTGTTAGTCGTACGCCTGATCTTTCTCTGGTAGTTTCGAATTGCGGTCCAATCGGACGGAATAGACAATGCACCTTTTCTTACCAAACGACTTCAAAAAGGAGGAGGGTTTCAATTCGTCGGAATCTTTTTTTTATGTATGTTCACCGATTACTCAAAAATGCCTAAATAGATTTGGAAAATTCTTTTTTTGTTTCAAAGGGTATACTTCCCAGGTGGTCCCATTTAAATTTTATCGAATTCGGTTGAGGGTTATAAACAATCAACAATAATTAATTATATTCATATTGAAGTTGTCTGTACAAAATTTTAAAGAGCAATGGCAGAAAAATAGTTGACAAAAATCATAGCGTCTAGAAATAAGTTATTTATAAAATGAGATTTATTATTTTTCTATGATTTTTCAAACAAAAATGTATTTTAATTAAAGCCACAGAAAAAAAACAAACATTTTTGGGAATATCAAATGACTGAAATCATTTTACTCTATTCAAATGTTGCCATTTAGTATATTCCTACTATTTACGTATACACTTTGTAACACTACCAACACAACACACAAAATATTTTTATATTAAGTTATTATTAGCAATAACTGTACTATCAGTAATAACAAAAATAAAAGTAATATGGCTGAGAATAAGTCTCTTACAAAGAATTTCCTACAATAATACATTATCTCAATCATAGTACTATGTAACAATTCCATTTAATGTTATGCCAACACTAGCTAAAATAAAATGTCACTGTTTTTTTTTTACTGGCTTTACAGCTCTGGGTTTCTTGCCTTTCTGAGAATGTCACTATGGTAGAAAAGCCCTGGAACCATGCCAGAAATATACATTTATAATATGCAAATATATAATAGAGATACAATACATACAATCTAAAAACTCTCAATTATGTATTATGTATTAAGCTATGGGATGTGTATAAGGGATGTGTAGCGTCACCGTGGCTGTTTAATCTGTTCATGGACAATTGTTTGACAGATTTAAAAGAGAATGAAAGTGGGTTGAGAATGAATGAGTTACTCGTCAAATTTTTTCTCTATGCTGATGACCAAGTATTACTTGCGTCTTCGGCCGAGGAGTTGCAGGAGATGGTAACTGCTATGAGTGGACCTTTTGTTAGAAAGGGAATGAAGATGAATGTAAGGAAGACGAAAGTGATGGTGTTTGAAAAAGATGAGGCAGTGACAGACTGCAATATCGTGATTGAAGATGAACAAATTGAACAGGTGAAAGAGTTTGTGTATCTGGGTTCAAAGTTTACAAGAGATGGAAAGTGTGAGAGTGATATCGAAAGAAGAGTGAATGCAGGAAACATGGTGAATGGAGCTTTGCACTCCTTTATGAGCAGTCGGAAGGTGTCTAACAAGGCTCGTTTGGCTGTGCATGAGGGGGTGTTGGTTCCGACACTCATGTACGGAAGTAAAACTTGGGTATGGCAGAAGAAACATGAAAGCAGAATAAATGCAGTTGAGATGAGAGCATTAAGAAGTATGATAGGAGTTAAACTGAGTGACAGGCTAAGAAATAGTGAGGTAAGGAAACGTTGTGGTCTGAAAGAAGATGTAGTGACAAAAATTGAGAAAGGTATGCTGAGATGGTTTGGCCATGTCGAGAGAATGAATGAAGAACGATTGACGAAAAAAGTGTATAAGGCGAGTGTGAATGAAAGTGTTGGAAGGGGTAGACCTAGGCGGATATTTCTAGACCAAATCAGGGACGTCTTGAAAAAAGGCCAGGTCAAGAGTACCCTAAACCGTAGAGCATGTATGAAGGGAATAATGAAAGTGGACGAAGCAAAACAAGTATGTAAGGATCGTAGCAAGTGGAAAGAACTGGTCTCTGCCTACCCCTACGGGAAAGAGGCGTGATTATATGTATGTATGTATGTATGTATTAAGCTAACATCAAACAACCACAGGAAGCATGACTTTTTCCAAGTGACATAGGACATAACCTAAAAAGGTTCAAATGTAAATATCTTTTTTTTACGCCTTCTCAGTACAAAATTCTTTGACAAAGTTATTAAGGGACTGACGCTTAACATTTTAAGATATTTTTGGTATATAGACGCTACCGTTTCTTCTCAACTAATTTTATGTGTGAAAGTCTGCCATTGCTCTTTATCACTTTTAGGATAAGGATAACAAACGAGCACACAGTCCTCCTGACAGTAAGTTTTTTGGAATGGACCATAGACATCTACATCTATCCTCGACTACGAATCAAAATGTATATGCATTGTCACCTGTGAGGACTAAGATGGAATGCCTCAATTCTAGTAAAAAGGGTCTCCGGTTCTCTACACTCACCATATGAAACACAGCAGCATTAAGCTGCTATGTTATACTGGTATTCTGTGAGAGCATGCTTCCCCGGTCGAGCCGACCCACTTGTGCAACCATGCTACTAATATAACTGCAGCATAGCTCTACCAAGTAACCATATCTATATTTGCACAACGCATACACTCTTACACTAAAATTTTACACAAATTCCCAGTCTCCACTGAGGCTCACACAGTCACACAGTAAAATGTTATTGATTTGTCTGTTTTTAACCCACCACGAAAACAGAAGGGTGTTATCAGTTTGTAGTGTATATCTGTGTGTCTGTCTGTGAGATCATAGTTCCTTGAACGGATGAACCGACTTAAGTTTTGTTTTGTTTCATATCATTTGAAAGATTTCTTAATCGAGAAAACTTTAAAATCCCCAAAACATAAAGAGCTCTACGGCTCTTTATGTTTTGGGGATTTTAAAGTTTTGATTTTAAGTTATCATTAATCACTATTATTTGTAATCAAAAGGTTCCACATGAAGTTCTAGTATAACTTACAAGGTACCTGAATAATTTTGACTCTCTTGGCAGCATTCTTTAAAGCTATTTCATCGCAGTCTACAGTCAGACTAGGTATGCCGTATCCAAGTGTAAGTGCAACTAGCAGATGACCTCGTCCCCCACCAGCCTCTAGACAATGAGTGGACCCAGTCACATTATAAAGTGATGCAACCAAACTGGACATAGCTTGTACCTAGAAGCACCAAACAATATTATAATTTTAAAGATAAAAATTATAACTTAGTAAAACTGTAGAATATGCACTTGCAACTGCACGTAAAAACCTACAATACGTCATGCATTGGACAAGTGCAAATATGGCTAGTGCCTTGAGGGGCCATGTAAACTTAATTATGAATATAGTCTTCCATACTAGGAATTATAGGTAGGGTAAGCACTGCACATTGTTCTAATGAAAAGGTAAGTTACAAATTTAACTTTGGACTGGAAAAAACATTCTTGCATACATGAATCTACATACAGTATTATTTGCTGACGATACCTTTTTAATTTTCAAACTGAAACGGCAGTCAATTAAATATGACGATGTAAATAATGCTCTATCGAAACTAGTACATTGGTTTAACGCCAACAATTTGCTCTTAAACGGCAATAAGACAAAATGTATTAAATTTACAATACCTAATGTAAAACATTCAAATACCAATGTGCTCTTAAATGGGGAGGAGTTGAGTCTTGTGGATACCACTGTTTTTCTTGGTATTACTATTGACGCGAAGCTTCAATGGGGCCCCCATATATCTAAATGAGCAAGCAGACTTAGTTCTGCAGCATATGCTGTAAGAAAGATTAGAAGTCTCACAGATGTTGAGACAGCTAGGTTAGTGTATTTTAGTTACTTTCATAGCGTAATGTCTTATGGAATTTTGGTATGGGGTAATGCGACTGATATTGAAGCTATATTTGTTTTGCAAAAGAGAGCCGTACGGGCGATTTATAATCTAAATTGTAAAGAGTCCCTCAGAGAAAAATTTAAAGAAATAAACATATTAACTTTGGCATCGCAATATATTTATGAAAATGTAATGTATGTACATAAAAACATAAATAGCTTCAATAAGAATAAGGATGTTCATACCTTAAACACTAGGAACAAACATAAGCTTGTAATGCCAGTTACTAGACTCCACAGAATTAGTAATTGATTTATGGGGCAATGTATACGCTTTTACAACAAAATCCCAGAACATGTTCAAAGTTCAATCAATCAAGTCAATAAACAAGTTTAAAAGCTTTATTAAAGAAAAACTGTACAAGAAGGGTTATTATAATATCAAGGAATATATGAATGAAAATAAGCCCTGGGAATAAGGTGATCGCCACCATGCTGGTTCTATGAAAATTCATTTAAAATTGTATAAACAAAATTATTGTTAAGTGAAATTATGTTTAAAAAAAAAGTCCCGCTGGGTTTCTTGCTGGTTCTTCCCAGGACAGAGGTATTTTCCGAACCAGTGGTAAATAAAATAATGACTTTCAATAAGTATTATGTAATAATCCATATTGAATAAAAATCATTCTATTCTATTCTATTCTACATCATGGTCAATGCTCTAATGCTGTGAAACCTTGCTTACTACCAAATTTTATGACTGTGATGAGTACATCATCAATGTATTCGAAGTCAATGAAATACGTATTATTAAGGATAACTTAAAATTTACTGGCCAGATCTTGATCTAATTTATATGGGACCACATGAGGAGCACCAGCTTTCATATAAAAATCATCACATATAAAAAAGGTCGAATCAAGTACCTCCTTTTTTTGAAGTCGGTTAAAAATGGTCAAATCTTTTAATTGCATTAACTTAGAAGTTTGAACTTTTACACCTCCAAGGGATCAAAGTTCCTAGTATTTAATATTTCAACTTTGATACCTCTATCCATTCCTGAAAAAACAGACAGATGGATAGACTAACAAACAATTAAAGTTTTTTTTAAAGGACAATGTGAGGAACGAGCACACAGTCCAACTGATGGTAAGTGGTTGCTGTGGCCCATAGACATTTACATCTATCCTTGTTTGTGAATCAAAATGCAGATGTGTTGTCACCCGTGAGGACAAAGATGGAAAGCCTATTTTCCATTAAAAAGGGTTTCCGGTACTCTACACTCACCATACTAAACACAGCAGTGTTAAGCTGCATTTTTACGCTGGTATTCTATGAGAGCGTGGTCCTTCCCTGATCGAGCCGACCCAGCTGCAGCGTGACTCTACCTCGTAAAAATTATTCTTTAAGTTGCGTTTTTCTTTAAAGATACAGAACACTAAACATCTTACATCAACTTCAAATAAAGATGTCTATAGATGCATTATCAGCCTGTTGTCATTAATAATTATTCAAACACAGAAAAAATTATAAATTATCACCTCATAACTCTTCTTGCTAGTCATAAACTCTTGAACCTTAATCTCTGGCCTTATAATTCCTCCCCAACTATTGATATGGCTTTGCAGCTGATCAATTGAAAGACAGTAACCATTGTTTACAGTCAGACAGTGTGATTGAGCCGTATGAATCCATTGGCGAAGTTCACATCTGTCTGAAAACAAATGTTGAATTAAAAGATATATTTTGGTATATAAATTGACCCGCCGTGTGGTGTTGGTGCAAGAATATCCACTAGCTCATATTACCCCATGGGTGTCGTAAGAGGCGATAGAGGGAAACTGAACCAGGAGTTGGACAAGAGCATCTTTCTGCAACAGCAACAGCTAAAAAAAAAAATATTCAGTTGCCAACCCCTTACTCTCCTTCGAAGCAATCTATGAGGAAGGCCTATGTTCAACAGTGGACTTTTGCTGGGCTGTGACAGAACGCTTATGGTTACAGTAATATAAATTAGCTATATTATGTAATAGTTTAGTAGGGACATCCTATATCCCGCTCGGATGTTAATATAGAATATCAAAGATCAATAATTGTGCCAAATGTATGTAAAATCAACTCTCACCATTATTATTTTGGTCTGAAGTATAAGTCCAGAATTTCTCAATGGCAAAGTTTAGATCCCATTCATTTAACAATTGTCTTAAAGTTTTTGGTAGCAACTCATCCCAGTGACACTCAGTGAAGAATTCCACCATATGACAGTTTGCTAGGGGCAATAGAGGATTTAAATACTTTAAAATTCTATCCAAATGGTGGTGAATTTTTGTTATTGTTGATTCCATTGCTATAAAATAAAAAAATAAAATATAAGGTCATAAAAGTAATAAAAATTAACAAACAACTCAAGAATGTCTGAAGATAAAAATATTTACAACAACAAAAGTAAAGTTTAAGACATTTCAGAAATAATAAACTCATATTATATAATGTGTTTATATAATATCTATACTCATATTATATAAACGCACTTAAAGTTAGCATTCCAGAACATAGAACAAAATTTTTTAATTCTTCCTTCACAGTTCAGGCTATTCTCCTCTGGAACGCTTTACCCGCTGATGTCAAGAAAGTTACGAATAAGCTTTTGTTTAAAAGATTGGTGCGACAACATTATTTAGAGGTAAACAACAATTAATTGCCTTCCCCGTTTTATATATATAATATATTACATATATTAATATATTATATGTGTATTTATAATTTATATATTTATATTTATTTATGTATATATGTGTGTGTTGTGTGTATGTGTATATATATTTACATATGTGTGTTGGTTATGTATACTGTATTTATATAATGCAATTAGGTAGTTTATGTATTGTGTATTCTATTTATTATAGCTGAACTGTTTTCATTTATAACTTATGTTTTATTATTGTCCTTAACTTGCACCTGCCAACATCTTTATTTATTCCATTTTTCGTCGGGTTGACTGGTAGAGAATGCCATAGGGCATTAAGTCCGCCCTTTGTAACCCCTAGTTGGTGTGTTGCAATAAAGGATAAATAAATAAATAAATAAAAAAATGTGTAACTTTTTCTTAGGTTTAAAAAAATATTAAAATAAAGAGACTGTATCATCATCATTATCATTAGAGCCCATTACAAGTCCAAAAGAATTGATAATTATGAACAGAGGTTAGTTTAAAAATGTTATTACCATTAAAAAGATAAATCAGCAGTATATGGATTATTTGAAGATATTTTCAACATAGCACAAGCCTTTTTATATTGTGCTCTAATAATCTCAAGCAAGGCTAATATATCGTGCTGCTCAGAGTTTGTGCGAGGGAATGTGTCAATTAGTTCTTTAACTCTCTTTAGTTGTTTGATAGTCTTCTCAGAATGCTTTACTTCGGATTTATCATCCTCTTCCAGATAATTATTCACTATACCATAATAGTATCCTGTAATTGAAAAAATTACTAAGAATGCTTATATTTTAAAATTTGGTATTTTAATTTAACTTACACATGAGTTTTTAATTAAAATTATAATTACTATTAGGTATTATATTACAGTATTAGGTAAATGGACACAATTAATTAAAAAAAATCGGGATATCTTTCTCCTTTATTTATTATATTTCGTAACATACCATGCCTTGGCGTAAAGATTAGTGTGAAGCATTAGTTTCACATTGTGTTTACGCCAAAGCACTATTTATGTTTTACTGTATAGCGGTCGTGTTGAATAGAATAGAATAAACGGGCTCTTTTCCACAACTCCACGTCCAGTAGATATTCTTACACCACCAGATAGTAGTAGATACCCCATGTCACAGTTCAAAGACCATACAGTTGGGAAATGAATGTGCTAGCACGCTTTTCTGAGTGCTATACTATACATGCAGTTAGCATAAGGATATTTCATAGTACTTATTTAACTAATTTTACATGGCGTTTTCGAGAAATGTCTTATCTATAATGGTGGATTACTGTTATAGTTATATAAGTTATTAAGTAAAATCGAATTCAAATGAAGGCCATGCTTATGTTTCCCTCATTTTTTTTATTAATTGTTTATCTGACTGCAAATACACTACATAATTGAATTTAACAATCGAAAACTGAAAACATCTATAAAAAGAAAGTGTCCTGAAAATATTTGGCAGTGCAACACTCGTAAATATGTTTTTTTAAAAATAATCTTGTTCAATAAATGTTTTTAACTTATATGTATGCACATAATGCTAACAAATGATAATGAGTATTATAATATCCAAAATTATTTTATTTCCATTTTCGTCACAACCCCTAGCATACACGCTGGGCGCGTAAATACCTACAGGGGTGGTGGCATCGGCTGACATCAAAGGCGTTTCACAACTGTAAATTCTTTAAAATGTGCCTATATTATCCCGTCGATGCCGTAAGAGACGACAGAGGAAAACATACCAGGAGATGGATAGCAGTGTCTTCCTAATAATAACTAACAATAAAAAACTGCAGTTGCCAGCCCGCTTGCCTAGTGTGGCAACTATGGTAAATATCCCCCTATAGGGCAATCTATGGAAGCCCTACATATTATGTTCAGCAGTTGACTTTAATAGGGTGTATCGGTCTTAATCTTGGTTCACTGGTGGTCTGTTCTTCATAACAAATTTATATATAAAATTGAAAAAAATAATAATTATATTATTTTTTTCAATATAATTAGATTTGTAACCATCAACGTCATCAAATGGTACCTAATTTAAAAAAAAAATTCATACCTAATTCTCTGCCAATTTCAGCTCCCCTGTGATATCCTAAATGGAAGCCCTCGGGGTTTCCTGCGTCACAACCAGTCCTATAACCTTCGTTGTAACTTTCCTTGCATTGAGTGTTTTCACTTAAAAATATATTTTCAAGGATATCATTAAAATCTATATCTTCAGCCATTTATCGTGGATCATTTGCTTTTACTTTAAGACCAAGTCATATATAAATAAATAGTAAATACATAGCAAGCTAAACTAATTACTTCCCTATATATAATGTACTCAGTGCTAATCACAGAACACTAATACCCTTAGGTGGGCTGCTAATTACTAACACAAATTATAAAGTTGTATGTAATTACTAAACTGCTAAACTAAACTGAAGTTTCCTATATATTAGGCTTGGGCAAAAAATATCGATATATCGAAAAATCGATATTTATTTTAGAGTATCAATTTCGATATATTTTAAAATGTTGTATCGTTTTTTTCGTCGTCCAACCGGCAGTTGATAAAATTTTGGACCTTATCTTTACATCATTCAAATGATGACGATATATCGATATTTATCACGCGAAATATAGATCCGATATATATCGATATATTTTTTCCCTTTGCCCATCCCTACAATATATAAAAAAGTACTTATAGTGCCACCAACTTATCTGTTCAGGTGGACAAAATTGGAACTAAAGCCGCCATTTTGTAAATGACATTTCGCTGTCAGTTATTATTTATTCTGAGCTATCAGGTGAGTGTTTTTAAAAAGTGCAAATAAAATGCCTAAAGATCTTAAAAGTGATGCGCGACAGAATATCCTGAAAGTTTTATCTTTTATGAAAGGCGAGAAACGTGTACAAGCCCCAACTATACCATTTGAAAAGCTGTATGAACGCGTCGCTGTCGCGACAGGTTTGTATTGCCAGATATGGAAAATTAAAATCACCAAATAATGTACTTGTGAAACATAGTAAAAAAATTATTTCAATCTACTGTAAGACTGTTGGTAAATCTTATGTTCCAACGCCCCAATTAATTGAAACATTTGTAATCATATAAAAAACTTGAAAATGAATACAGACTAAAATACGCGTATTTAGATGAACCCTTACGCGTATTTATTATAGCGTGTCAGAGCGATATCGAAAGCGACTCCAGTGACTGTGACTCAGAAGATGAATTATTGGAACCAGTAGCTAGCGCGGGTACATCTTTCAAAACACAAATTCCTGGAGTTCAGCCGCTTGAACACCGAGGTCACGACCACAATTATTTTTATAAAATATAAATAATATATATAATAACACTAATTCTCATTAATTTTAATATATTAACAAGAAATTTGTTTTATTTTATATTATGTGTAATGAATATGTAGTCACCTATTTCCTCGGTGAATTTCTTAAATGGCAATAGTAAGCGCCCCACTAGCGACGCTGTCAACTGAACAGATAAGTTGGTGGCACTATATTAAACGTAGTGGTTATATTCTCTTTGCATTCTATGCTCAAAGTAGAAAGTACTCTGTGACTGAAGTGTTGTATTTATTTGTATTTTATTTTTATTTATTTTTTAATTATTTTCGTTTTTTTTGTAACTGGCTTGACGGCTCTGGGTTCTAGCCCTTCTGAGCCTGAAGTTACAATGTATAATTATTTTTCATGGTACACAGCTTCACAATATGTTGATGCGTCACATTGTGCAGCCCTTGGGAACCAACTTTGCCAGCAGACAGCTAACAGTTGGCGATGGTATCTCAAGGCGCCTAAGCAGACAGACACCTTATCTTGAGAATCACATCACCATCAGAGCACTTGTTTCACAGTTTCCACTAAAAGTTCACATGCGTAGATACTTAATAAATAAAATCGCACCACTTTTATATATCAAAATCCACTTCAAACCATTATTTAAACAATAATATAGGAGCAGCAAACCGCCGCCGGTCAAGTTCCCGCCAAAACTCCTTATTTTCGTAAGATTTAATAGGATAGCAGTGTTGCCAGATCTTTACATCTCTATGGCCAGATCAGTTTTAGAAAATATAATATACTAGTATACACTCACCATACGAAACAGCAACTAAGCTGCTATTTTAAGCTGGTATTCTATGAGAGCGTGGTCCTTCCCCGGTCGAGCCGACCCATTCGTGCTACAACTATACTACTAATATAGCTGCAGAATGGCTCTACCACCTAAAAATATTTTCAAGACTTTAATATAACTATGAAAATACACTTTAAAGATTAGGTCGTTCAATAACTAAGAATAGGAAAAAATCCAAAACATTTATGCCATGAGATTAGAGTGACCCCATATATCCGAATCTTTATTAGTTCAAAATATGGGACAACATGACAAAGTACCAGCTTTCAAATAAAAAACAGTATCATCGAAATCGGTTAACTCAGAAAAAAGCTATGAGGTAACACAGATTAAAAAAATGAACATACCGTCGAATTGGGTATCTCTTCCTTTTTGACGTCGGTAGATAACTACTCAGATGGCGTTGATGTAGCGATTGTGGTCAAATATCTCACCGCGAGTTTTCTTTTTAATTTTAGATAGAACCAAAAACTTTTTTCTAAACGTGCATTGGATCGTGTTTAAGATAAAACATGGGATTTTTTTAAAAACAACCGACAAAGAAACGGACAACCAACAATGACACCAGTAACAAAACGTAATCAGTGACAACTGCGACATTACAGTTGACACTTGACAGTTAAATTTGATACATCATAACATAGAGATATATACCTATTCTAAGTCAGTGCATCATATTAATATTTTTAAAATATATATATTTATTAAAAAATAACTTTTATTAAATATATCGAAATTTCGATATATCGATATTTTTTGCCAAGCCTAGCAGACAGCAGTAGCGGTGTGTCGTTATGAGTTTTCTAAATAACGTAACGTTATCGTTATGGTACAACGGATAACGTTATATATTCATAACTGTCTATTTTCCATATAACGGCAACTTAACAATACCGTCATAGAAATTAATCAAAACTATTTTCGTTTCGTGATTTAAACAGTTAACATTTAAATACTAATTTAGTTGCTGAAATGATCTTTCCTTCGTTCTTTTGATCTTTTGACATCTTTCTAGGAATTAAGGCATCCATTTATCCTTGTTTGTGTTGAGACTGCGGTACAGCTAACAGCATCATGGAGGTTGGATTTGACTGGCTCAAAAAGTTATCTTTTAAGTTAGTTCTGACGCAAGGACACCGAAAGTGTTCACAGGTCTCAAATATCTAGCAATCTAAAACAAAACTTATTAAAACTTGTGTGTACGTTTCTATATATCGCTGCCGTAATTATGACTTCAGATTACTTGAAGTCGTCTGAAAACAAAATTCGTGTTTACAAAATATTACAACGCGCTTTTCTATTTACACTATCAGTTTTTCGATCACATTGTTTCTTTATTATATTACAACCTAAAACGAAGCTATATCTACATTTACAATCACTAATGCAAATAAACAGTTACTTACAAAGTTTTTTGTTCGTTTTTAGATTTCTTTTATGATCACTAATATCACAATGGTTGCTTTATGTTTCGAAATAAACTTGGAATTAATTTTTTTTTAATAATAATACAGAGAGACACAATTAATTTGAAAACTCAAGTTCAAAAGTTGATGGACAGAATGTCAATAATAATATTTCGTTTTAACTAGGTCAAGGTTATTAAAACAGTTTAATCCTGGCATTTTGGGGAACAAGTGTTAATTTTCAATATATGGCAAAAACCCGTATTTACTATGTAGAATTTTAAATAAACAGCACGAGATTTAAAATTGCTTAATTAGAGACAAATTGCCAATTTGAAATAGTAATACAAGTATTTATATGAGAAAGAAAGAAATAAATTTATTTCTCGAATTTTGCTTTGCTCACGTACACATTTCATCATGGGTCCCACTGCAGTTTCGTTCTTATCGTACACAGCATAACATTTGTTTTTGTACTTTTGGTACTCTGTGCGTTGCGAATCGTTATAAGAAATAGACAGTTATGAGCGTTATGTATATCTATACGTTATAAAGTAAATAGACGTTTCCATAACTGTTTATACGTTATAATTGGTTATAATCACAGTCACAGAACACTATGTTATAATGCTCATAGTAGGGATAGTCGATGTTGTAGAAACATCAATGATGACATCGATGTTGACATCGACAGCTCAACATCGATGTTCGATGTTTATCCTACTCAAAACAGTGATGTTGGCCATTATCGATGTTTTTTGCACATGTATTTAATAGGTTAGATTTAGAAGAATAAAAAAATTGTCATTTTGTTTATGGTTTATAATTAATGAAATAAAAGAAATTAATAAACAATGTAGTATAAAACAGTAATTAAAAAAATTGGAAGAAGTTCACAAATATTTAATTCACTTGTTATATTGTCCAATATATTTGCAGATTGATTGAAGAAATAGTAATTTTGACAAAGAAGTACCTTTCAATCTGTTTCTTTGTTGATAAAGAGTTGAGCCAGCTATTGAAAATAATTTAAAAATAAAATTTTGTACAACTGACTTAAGGATAACTGAAAAACTTTTGGTCAGTTTATATCGGACCGCATGTAAAGCACTAAATTTCAAATAAATAAGAATCATCGAAATCGGTTCACCCAGAAAAAAGTTATAGGGTAACACATATTAAAAAAAGAATATACAGTGGAATTGAGTATCTCCTTCTTTTTGAAGTCGGTGGATGACCGCTCAGATGACGCTGATGTAGCAATTGTGGCCAAATATCTCACCGCGAGTTTTCTTTTTAATTTTAGATAGAACCGATAGCATTGTTCTAAACGTGCATTGGATCGTGTTTAAGATCAACCATCGGATTTTTTTAAAACAACCGATAAAGGTACAGATAACCAACAACGACACCAATAACAAACGAAATCAGTGACAACTACGACATTACAGGTGACACTTGACAGTTAATTTTGATACCCCATAATGATATATTTTCAGGTTACCCCATAATAATCGATTATGGGTTTAATGACATCGATGTTTCGATGTTTGACATGTGGCAACATCGATGTTAAAACATCGATGTGTTCGTTCTTGACATCGATGTTCGATGATCATCGACCATCCCTAGCTCATAGCTAGACAGCAGCAGCACATATTTTAATTTTTCTATTTTAATTTAAATAAAAGCTACTTCTATGAATTCCTGCTGCTTTGCTTTATTTTAACTGTCTCATAAGTTTGTGAAACATTTATTCCAGTCTTGCATTTTTATAAATAAATTTTAACGATGGTTAGAGAAATTAGTATCGAAGAAGTTAAAAAACACCGCGATAGTAAAAGCGTTTGGATAATTATACATAATGATGTTTACGATGTAACAAATTTTTTGGAAGAGGTAAGAAATTATTTATTAAAAAGTCTTGTAGGTGAGATTGTATTTCCATCATACTGGAATTTTTTGTGGATCTAAATTTTGACCCCTTTTTTAATCGACCAATTTTGTATAACAAATAGCTTTGCACTAGTAAAAGTTCGCTCGAAAGCATGATAAACTCCCTTAATTAGTGAATAGATGAATATGTCAATTAATTATTTCACTCTCTTTAGTTGTTTGATAGTCTCCTCTGAATACTTTACTTCTAATTTGTCATCATCATTTAGATAATTATTCACTGTGATAAAATGTTATCGTGTAATTGAAAAAAATATTACTAAGAATGCTTATGTTTAAGAATCTGGTATTTTAATTTGTAGGCCAAGATGGTCGGATCCTCCGTGAAATAGTTTCTCCCAATAAAATGTGTCAATCAAAAAGACAGATTGACACTGAGATGGTTCATTAAGTGTTGTTTTGCTAATTTTGAAATGGAACACCAAACATCAAATTTACAGAAAAACGTAGATAATTTAACTAATCATAATTTGAGTAAAATTTGAATAAGTTTAATGATGAGTTTTATAGGTATATTCTCATTACATTTTTAGCACCCTGGTGGTGAAGACTCACTTCTAGAAGTAGCTGGAGAAGATGGCACTCAAAGCTTTGAAGATGTTGGTCACAGTGCTGATGCTAGGTTTGTGCTATGTATCGACATTTGTAATTTTTTTTATTTTCTGGTATGAAAGAGAAAAGATTGAGTTCACATTTCATACACCATTTTACATATATACTTACATAAACCTTTACATCTGTCACCTGGAGGGGTGATCCTGACACTCCTCTCTCATTTCTTTCTTATCTATATATTTAGACATATATGCTCATCTATTAAGGTTGCGGTTCATTTGGCCTTATTTTCAATATGCAGCCAATTAGGCTGATAAACTTTCATCTAGGATGTCCCTTGCTAACTTTGCCACTCATTTTGTAGCACAAATATGCATTTTCTTTTTTCTTATTCATTCTTTCTACATGTCCAAACCATAGAAGCATTAATTCCTCATCCTGGTTACATCTTACAAACCACACTTTTCTCTTATCACTCAATTTCTCACCCTATCATTCATTAAATTAACCTTAACTGTGGACATGGGGTCTCACAGACCTTTCGCACTTGCTGATTTCTTAGAATAACATATTTATCACCGACCCTCAAGGGTGGGCGTCTACTGAGACGAGTTAAGCTAGCAGAAAGAGGTTGTGTGTAAGTGTAAAGGTAAGTTACACGCATATAAAGTTTAGACGGGGTTTGTGAGACCCCATCAATATATTTCCTTAAGAAATGATACCTTTACTTTTGTTGTTTAAAATTGCCGAAAATAGTCAACCAAGTTCTTCTGGGTCAAAACGACCATTAGAACAAAAAAATGCAGTACAAAGACTGATAAAAATATTGCATTTAGATGATCCGTCTTCTGATGATATTTTTTCAAATTCTTGATTTGAGTGGTATGAATGTTAGCATATATGCTCAACATCAAAATAAGGGAATAGATTTTTATATCTTTATAAATAAATTAGTTCGTTTTCTAGTAGTCCCACATATGCAAAGATGTTAATTCTTGACCAAAGTATTACCAAGAGAATTGAGAATCACCATAAAGCACGTTTTAGGTGGTGACGTGCCCCCAAATGATACCCAAGCTGAAGAAGAGCAAGGGAAGAGAAAACATTGTAACCTATGCCCACCAAGACTCCAGAGAAAGACTGCAATGTAACGTGTAAAATGTAAAAATCCAATATGTCTGCAATTCTCAAACCCCCTGTGAAAAGCATGCCAATTATAGGGTCATTGACCCTTTGTCAGGTTTTTTTTCGTTTCAAATGCATGATAAACATTGTTGTTTTTTAATTGAAAATTTATTAGATGATTATAAGAAAACATATAATTATGTTGATTTATAAAATAAATAATTAGTTAACAGAACTTTAAGTGATCAGTGGCAATTAAGACTGAAAAGTGCTATTTCTTGATTTTTTGTAATTATTTGTATTTTGTAATAAATGTTTCTCATATCCATTTAAAATCTTATTACTTACAAACCAAGCATCCATTCTAAATTTTTTTTCATTTATTTATTTGCACAATTAATATCAAATGACCATAAACAATGTAGGACTCTGTTAGACTCCATGTCCATTCTATTGTTACAAATAAATGTCCATAGTTAAAGGTTAATAAATGTCTTTATTGGAATGTCTATAATAATACTCAAGTAGGACAGTTACATTGTGGACAATAATATATGAAATTTTTATTGCAGGGATTTACTAAAGAAATATAAGATTGGTACCTTGCCTCAAGGAGAAATAAACAATAAGCTGGCTGACACTGATAATAGGTGAGAATGATTTTTAATTATTCAATTTGTAATCCAAAATAAATATTTCAAGCCCAAATCCAAATATCCAAATATAATAATCCAAAATAAATATATCATATCACATTTGTAGAATTCAACTTTATTTGCATATAAAATATGGTGTCATTGCCTAGATAAAATTTGTTAGTCCGACACATTTAGCCATTTCATTGTGGTATGCAAATTAAAAAACAATTAAATTATATTTAAACATTAATTATAAAATATAAATCATTTGTATATTCAAGTCCGAATCAATTTTATTTATCACTAAGGTTTCCTACGGCGCCACGATATGAATGCATATCTCGACGAGTATCGATATCTCGGTAACTAAGCGATATATAGAAAAAAAATTATTCTCACTTTTTGGTGTATTTCGTCGAGATCAATGCGAATCCGCCTTCAAATCGTGCCGCCTTAAGAATCGTAGTCGTTCCGATGTAAAGAACATAAACATATATTTGTACTTATTATAATAAAAAATAACTTTAAAAAGAATTAAAAGGAGGTTAGAGTAAATTCTTTAGCTCAAACACTTATCTTTATAGAGCCCACAAATTATTTTTATTTACAATTTAAAAATTCTGTTACTGAGCGGAAATTATTCTCAGTTAGCAATTTAAACATTACTCTTTTAAATGTCTGTTATTTAATATCTATGTATACATTTTATTCATTTCATCACGCTGCAGTTATATTATGGTTGTAGCACAAATGGGTTGGTTCGACTGGGGAAGGACCACGCTATCACAGAATACAGCCGCTAAATGCTGCTGCATTTCGTATGGTGAGTGGAGAGAACAGATAGACCCTTTTTACTGGAAACAAGGCCTTCCATCTTAGTCCTCAGGGGTGACAACACATCTGCATTTTAATTATTAGTCTAGAAAGAATATGGATGTCTATGGGCCACAACATCCAATTCCCGTCACATGGACTTGTGCTCATTTGTCACCCTTATTCTACAAAAAAATAGAAGTGGTCTTAACTGGAGAATGAATATTCAAAATTCATAAAATATCATCACAAGTTCACCGCTGAACGTAGGAGCTCTCACGCTGCTTCCCAATTGGTTATGATTTCTTTAGTGAAAATCTGGTCTTTTCTTACTTAACCTTTAAGTATGGACGTGGAGTCTCACAGGCTCCGCACGATTCGCCAGTTTTTGGTTTGACCCCCTTCCCCCCGCTCCATGCACCCGAGCGTCTCAGTAGCTTTACGTTTAGTTCCAAACTACACAGTGCGGGCGGAGGTTACGTCGCTGGATGCAGAACACGTGAGTAATATTCATCGAAATATTGGCTGGAGCCTGTCAGGCTCCACGTCCACTGTTGCCATGTAAAATATTATGATCAATTTTCTCTGTATGTTTTAGATTTTGTTATGTAAAATGGCTGAAAATATTAAAGCGAGTTGTTCTAGTGCAAAACAACCTCAGAGAAAAAAAAATGCGACTAGATGATCCATCTTTCGAAGACGAAATAACTTCTTTATTGTTGGCTTTGGATCAGTCAGACGATGAGATAGATATTGAAAATTGCTTGTTATCTGAGGCGGACCCGACAAACTGTCATGATAGTGATTCAGGTGAAGAGGTCAACGACCTTGAAGATGCAGTCGATAGTGACAATTTAGACGCGCCACTTTCTGAATTACGCACGAACTATTATTATGGGAAAAATCGTTATAAGTGGACAAAGACGCCACCGTTAACAAGAGTACGTATATCTCAACACAATATTATATCAGTTCGTACATCTTCTTCGAACTTGTCAGCCGACTGTGAGAAAGATCCATTCAGTATATGGAACAAGTTATTCGACGATGAAATGCTCCATCAAATTTTGACCTGGACTAATGCAAAAATTTATATCTACAAAACTAAGTTCGCGCGTAGCAATCGACCCGAACTGAACGATTTGGACTTAGTTGAGCTGAAAGCGTTTATTGGTCTACTATTTTATTCTGCTGTTTTGAAGTCGAACCACGAAGACACAAGTTACTTATTCGCATTAGATGGTACAGGCTGTGAGATATTCAGGTGTACAATGTCGGAAACCAGATTTCTTATATTGTTACTGTGCCTTCGTTTCGATGATCCTAATGAATGTGATGAGAAGAAAAAGACTGACAAGTTAGCTGCTATATCCCCCATTTTCAACAAGTTCGTAAGTAATTCGCAACAGTTGTACGAACTAAGTGAATGTGTAACTGTGGACGAAATGCTAGTCAAGTTTCGTGGAAGAAGTCACCTAATATCATACATGCCTAAAAAACCAGGTAAATATGGTCTAGTGATACGAGCATTATGCGACGCTAAGAACTTTTATTTTTATAATGGCTATGTATATTCTGGAAAAGACTCCGATGGTATTGGGTTGACAGTAGAAGAAAAGAAATTCCTAGTCCCCACACAGTGCGTCTTACGTCTAACGAAACCAATCCAAGGAAGTAACCGCAACGTCACAGCTGATAATTGGTTTTCATCTATTGAACTCGTAGATGAATTAGCAAAACGAAAGTTGACGTATGTAGGGACAGTAAAAAAGAATAAAAGAGAGATACCTATCGAATTTCAGCCAAATAAGCGTCGAGAAGTAGCATCTACCTTATTTGGATTTACGAACCAAAAAACGTTATGTTCTTGGGTTCCTAAGAAAAATGGAGCTGTAATACTCATATCTTCCATGCACCATGATGATCAAGTAGACCAAAATACTATAAAACCCGAAATAATACTTTATTACAACTCTACTAAAGGAGGAGTTGACGAAGCGGATAAAAAATGTTCTATTTACTCGTGTAGCCGCCGTACGCGGAGATGGACAATGGTGTTACTGTTTCGAGTGCTGGATCTAAGTGGCATGAATGCATACATTCTCTACAACATGTATCAATCAAAAGAGGTTGAAAGAGGAGATTTCCTAAAAGAATTAGCTCGTTCCCTTGTAGTGCCGCATATGCAAAGACGTGTTGTAAACACAAAATTGCCGAGAGAGCTGAGGTCAACTATAGCTCGAATATTGGGTAAAGATATGGTAACTGAAGATGTCCAAACACCACCCGTCAGTCAAGGAACTAGAAGAGCATGTAGAATATGTCCCACAAAAAAACATAGAATGACCATTTATGTTTGTGTGGGGTGCAGCAAGCCTGTGTGCCTACAATGCTCTCGCCCTTTGTGCGCTGACTGCCAGTAATTTAGAGATATTATGACTGCTGTCAGAATTTTTGTTTTTCTTTGTCAGAAAGAGCTTTTATGTTTTTTTTTTCGTTTGTTCATTAAGTTAGAGGATAAATAGGTTTTATTTTGTTTTATTGTTAGATTTAGTAAAATTGAGTGAGTTAAAATGATAACCCTACCAAAAGTCTTAAAAAGTGCCCTGATTGTTAATTTTTCATATTTCTATGATTATAATAAAGAAAGTTGATTACAAATTACTATTTTTTTCTTATTAAAGACCTCTATTTATGAATAGAAAGGCTAAGACGATGTGCGGTAATGTTTTCTAGAAAAAAGTTGCTTTTGAATGTAGTAGCCTGAGAGACTCCACGTCCGCACTAGTGTTGAAAATATATCACGTCCATACTAAAAGGTTAAGCTTACTGATCTATTGGTTTATGTCAATTATTTATGTTCTCATGCAGATAAAAAAAAATAGAAATATTAACTGCACAAGTGTCCTTTCACAATACTTATTTGAGAAGAGGTCTGAGGCTTTCTTTTCATGCAAAGCTCATGCATCATCTTTGTACTCTAGCTGTTCCACTTTAAAGTTACTTACATAATATTATTGTTATTAATTAAGAATTCTTTAATTTGCCAAGTTGTTGTTTACACACATTGAAGAATATGGAAAAGGAAAAAACATGGAGAACATATGATGGATCCTCAAGAAGGTTCCTATTTTTTGATTGCTGTAGTTTGATGTTTATATTCTAGATATTTATTGTAGGTTGTAGTTGTGTAATAGTACGAGTAGGTAGTAACCATTTCATTTGAATTAAACAAAAATATACGACTGGCTTGGCACCTGACCAAATACTTAATTTGTAGCATTTTTTTTGTAATGATATAGTTAACCGATTTGTTGCGGCACCGATTATCGACAACTTTTAGCTGTGGCGGCGAACAAATATTTCATGACACGCCTGGCGTGAGTTGTGAGTTTGTGAGCGTTCGCAATTAGTGCTGTTATTTGTTACTTATTAGACTATTTTTCCGCAACATGATTTAAAACCCACAAAGTAAAAAGAGTACCATGTACAAGTTAAAAAAAGGTTGTCAACCCCTAAAAATTTCAAATTTTCAAAATATCCAGAAACGAAGCTGTAGGCATGAACTACTTGCAAAATAAAGAATATTTTGTTCTGGACAAATCTTCCAAAAACGCAATTTGAGCGAGTTATAACGATTTTTAAAAAGATACGACTCGCGTGTCATACGCCACCAGGGCTCGGAAACCGGTTGAAATTCTAAACCGGTTTCGGTCATTGACCCCAAAACCGGTTTTTGCGGAATACCGGTTTTCACAAATTTCGGTTTAGGTAGTAAGAATTAACCGGTTAAAACCAAGTTTTGTAATGACCCCCTTTCCCTTACCCCGCTTGCATCCATGTTTGTACGGCTGCCCCTCTATAATTCCCGAGGTTTTTAGACACATGCACGATATATTCATTGCATCAACGAGACTACCTTGTGACGTACACCCTCATATTTTTTCATCTTTCAGCAACGATCGTATTATAAATAACATATGTAAGTTCTGTTTCAATTAATTATGCGTTATCTTTACTTTAAAATTAAGTTTCGATATCAAGTTTAATTTGACGTTATATATTTAAATTGACTTTAATTATATTTAACGTTTTCTATTAAAATTACGCTATGCATCTTTATTTCAATGTCATTAGTTTTAGTAATATATCGCAATAAATGACGAACTTTCTTAACAGAACACAATATTTTTAAAAGTTTATGAAATTATATGTTATAGCATTTTTGTTCTATTTAAGACTAAAGTGAGGCAGATTACCAGATTTTGTTTTAAAATTCAGAAGCTCGTAATTACGACCAACCTCTATCTCCGTCTGCAAAATTAATAATGACCACTTCTGAGGTGTAAAGTTTAACTAGAAGACATGTCTAAACACGATAAAAAATTGTATTTTATGTTCAGAGAATTCTAACAAAAGAAATTACCATTTTTCACATCTTATTAATGAAGAATTGGAGCAAATCTTATCATGTTGTGTACGTACAAGATGGTACTAAAAATATTAGCTTTTCTAAATAGAGTGCAAGGTAACCACATAGACGAAATTAAATTAACTGATACTGAAATTAATAAAGAAAAATAATTTGAATCTAACAAATCATTTTGATCAAATTCGGCTGCTGTCTAGACTTTGCTGTCGACTGTAACCAAATACATACACTAAAAAATCCTGTCTTTTATTTAAAGTAATTATTAATAACTCCCAATTAACTAGATCATCAGTATAAATCACACTGATATCCGATCATGTATTGAATTACAAAAAAGAATTATCAAAAGTACAGCCAAGTTTTCTGACGCCTCAAGATCAAAATAATATAGTAATCACTTTCGAATTTTTTACAAACTTTCATACTTTAAGAATACAAAACTATTCAAATAAATAAAATTGAATATATTAAATAAATAAAATAAATAAAATTGAAGTGTCTGTACGTAACGTCAAAATAACAGATTTTTACTAAATACATATCATGAAAATATATAATTTTGTCTGTCTGTATGTGGTTACTAGCGCGACTGTGAATCATGATTTGGTCCTGGGTTTAAATCGTGTCCCAGGTCGTGCCAAGTACCGTTATTGGATTAATTTGGGTATAATGAGTGTTCTAGAAACCACCCTGATAGTCGTATTCATCCCTCAATCAAGCACTTAGATTTTTGGGTTTTCTCGTCGTACGTTTTCTTACAGAAAAGGGGACAAACGAGCATGCAGGTCACGTGATGGTAAGTGACTACTGCCACCCATGAACAACCGCAGCACCAGGGGAATTGCAGGTGCGTTGCAAGCCTTTAAAAGGAGTGAGCTTTTTTCTTGAAGGTCCCTAAGTCGTATCGATCCGGAAAAATCGCCGGTGGTTAACAATTCCACAGAGAAGTTGTACGAGGAAGAAAACTCAGATCGTGAGGATGGTATTGTGAATTTTGACGCGAGCAATTCCTCAGAGCACTCCCCGTGGTAAATTCGATAGAAAATGCAAAGGGATGCAACATCCCTATGCAGTGCCAGTCAATCGAGCCGATCAGAAAGAATTCGGACGTCGACGACTCGAACCGCTCTGCGCTGGATGCGGTCAAGTCGAAGGAGCTGACCCTGGCGTGCCCCGGCCGTGAAATGAGAGGCCGAATTTGCGCTTTGTATAGTTGCAAGCGATGTGCCCACATGAAATACTAATACTCTGCTGAGCACGCCAAGCTTTTTATAGGCCAATTTGGGATTCCCTTCCAAGTAACCCCAAAACTGCACACTATTCGATATGTCGACGCCGAGGATTCCGATGCTAGCTGAGGCAGCAAGGGGAGTGCCTTAAAACTGAGGAGATACGACAAAGGGGTTCTTTATAGCGGTATACGTGCAAATTTGTGTCTTCTGGGGATTTAACTGGACTAGATTTAGCCGCCCTCAATCCGAGACTTTGTTCAGCAAAGAATCAACATCAGACACAAGTTTATTCCGGTAGCGCCGTGGTAGTTCAGATGGTTAGCGCTCGCTGTAAGTCTCACAGTACGTGAGAAACTCGGGATCGATCCCCGCCGGCACCAATGAAATTGTTAATTGCAATTTTAAGTGCCGATGTACCACGTGCTCGGCGGTGAAGGAAAACATCCTGAGGAAACCTGCATATCTGAGAAATAAAAAAAATATATCTCGAAGACATGTGAAGATCGCCAACAAGCATTGGGGCAGCGCGGCGGACATTTACTTGCCCTAAAACCCTCTCAGAAATAAGAGGAGGCTTGTGTCCAGCAGTGGGACGTATAAAGGCTGCAACTTTATTTTACTTTAATTTTGTTCCGGTACTCGGAGACGTTTCCCGAGAAATATTAGCACGGCCGGTGTATATTCCATCACCAGTGCTGTCGTTGTTACCAGTTTGCAAAATATCATTGATATGCAGTAGAAACAGCGTTGGTGATAGCACGTAGCCTTGTGGTATACCAGCGTCATTAGGCTTGTAATCAGAGCATGCACCGTCTACTACGACCCTGATGATCCGATCAGCAAGGAAACTGGTGATCCGATTGCATAATTTCTCGGGAAGCCTATAGGAATAATTCGAAAGAAGCGCTTTGTGCCAAACCCAATCGAAGGCCTTCGCAATGTCCAAACTAACGGCTAATGCCTACCCCTTGGACTCTAATGCCTCCGCCCATCTATGAGTTAGATATACCAGAAGATCACCAACTGATCAACCGCGACGAAAACTGTTTATAATGGATCCCATTATTTTGAAGAACAAGGAGGTGATGGCGATAGGCCTGTAGTTTGACGGGTCTGAGCAGTCGCCTTTTTTAGGGATCGGGTGAACCAAAGCTGTCTTCCATGAATTTGGGATAACGCCTTAGGAGTAGAAGTACCGGAAGAGATGCGTTAAAACAGGTGCCAACATCGGAGCACAGGTCTTCAGCACAATAGAGGGAACCGAGCGCTGTGTAAGCCGCACATCTGGCATGGAGCACTCAAACCTCTTTTTCAAATTTTGAAGAACCTGGAGGCAGAATTATACTTCTTTTGAAGAGCGCTGGTGTTTACTTCTCGATACATCAACGTCTCTGAATGTAAAGATGTCGTCAGCCCAGTGCTGGTGCACTCTTGCTTATAGTGTGATATTATTTTACATGAGCGACCAAACTATGGCTGGAATCTGCCTCCGATGGGCACCACAGAAGATGGTTATTCCAACCAAAGTTCCATATCATCAAGTACCACATCAGCGACAGAATCAGCAACATTGCTGGGATTGTCCAGCGAGAAGCAAATTCACTCTCAAGGGTAGAATGCAAAAAAAAGACCGCATCCTTTCCCAATCGGCCGATCTATAGTGCCAAACACGGCGGCTGCCTGCAGAATGCAACCGCGAAGATAGTGTGAGTGACATCACCCTCCGGACAAGACAATGGCTCTAGGAGCCGTGAATTGTGTCGACGGAAACCTGATATCCGTTCGGATAAGAGGTCAGCAGAAGTTCCAACAGGGAAGGCGCATGATCCTCCACATCTGGAATCTGCGTAGGCAAAGTAACCAGCTGTGCAACCATATGCCAAGGCAAAGTCATAAACAAATTTCCCCACATGATCGGTTAAATGTGAACTGAGCCATTCGGCGTGATGGTCGTTAAAATCGCCAAGGATCACGATCTTTGCGGATACCACCTCCCCCGTATACCAGAATATGCGGGGCAGCTTGAGCACACATGCTCAGGAACAGTAGGGTAGCTTAGGCGTGGGTGCTCAGCGAAGGATTCTACGTCACCAGGATTCTGGTACCCTCCTGGGGTAGTTTTTTATTTGATTCCGCTACCATACTTTAAGGGCGGGGGGGGGGGGATTGGGCCTCCGACCACCTACACCTACCAAGTGAAACGCAGAAGTAAACTTCTACTTCACGCTGGTATTCTGTGAGGTCGTGATACTACCCTGGTTCAAGCTGGCCCATCCATGCGATAGCAAAAGCTGCCGCGTGGCTCTATCACTGTTAAAACGTAAACATGGAATAAATTCTATTTACTTTTTTCTGCCCATCATAAATAAACAACCGATACACAAATATAAATTATTTTCTTCATTATGAGACAAGTCCAGTCTTAACGAATAAACCAAACGCCGAACTCCCACTACACACCCTGATCGCGACTAAAACAATGTATCGCTTAAAGGCAAATACTTGATAAGTGTGCCCGCATGAGGCGATGCTGCATAAGCACCTCGTAACGTGAATCTACCTGTCCTATTCATAGCTGCCTTTAAGTTTTACGGAATTAACCGGTTAATTTGGGTGTCGAAACCGTTAAGTAACCGGTAACCATTATCGTTTAGGTTTAATAAAAACCGGTTAATATTTTAACCGGTAATTGAAGGAGCGATAAATTTACCGGTAATTAATCGAAATTAACCGCTCTTTTTAAACCGGTTCCGAGCCCTGTACGCCACATACAAAAATAATCGATGGCACGCCGCGTGCCATCGTCATTGAACCGGTTAACAATATATTATATTGTTGTCGATTTATAAAAATAACAATTGTTTCATGTAGTGTTGCAACAATTAAAAGAGCAATGGCAGACTTTCATACATAAAATTAGTTGAGAAGGAAAGTTTTTAGGTTATGACTTATGTCACTTGGAAAAAGTCGTGCTTCCTGTGGTTGTTTGATGTTAGCTTTATACATAATACATAATTGAGAGTTTTTAGATTATTGTATCTCTATTATATATTTGCATAGTATAAATGTATATTTCTGGCATGGCTCCAGGGCCTTTGTGTCATCGTGATATTCTCAGAAGGCCTAGAACCCAGAGCCGTAAAGTCAGTAACAAAAGCAGTGACATTTTGTTTTAGCTAGTGTTGCTATATATATTAAATGGAATTGTTACATAATATTATGAGTGAGATAATGTATTATTGTAGGAAGTTCTTTGTAAGAGACTTATTCTCAACCATATTAATTTTAATTTTATTATTACTGATAGTATATTTATTACTAATAATATCTTAAAATAAAAATATTTTGTGTGTTGTGTTGGTAGTCTTACAAAGTGTATACGAAAATAGTATGAATATATTAAATGGCAACAGTTGAATAGAGTAAAATGATTTAAGTCATTTGATATTCCCAAAAATTTTTGTTTTTTTCTGTGGCTTTAATTAAAATACGTTTTTGTTTGAAAAATCATAGAAAAATAATAAAACTCCTTTTATGTGTAACTTATTTCTAGACGCGATAATTTTTGTCAACTATTTTTCTGTCATTGTCCTTTATATAATTATAAATTGCTGATGGTTGTGCGAGTCTGAAGGGTATAAAACCAGTATAATTACAGGCTGTGAGGCATTCCATCTTAGTTAGGCTCAGAAGGGCTAGAACCCAGAGCCGTAAAGCCAGTTTAAAAAAAAATCTTAGTCCTCAGAGTCGAGGAAGAACGAAGAAGTGAACTCTATTTATTTTAAGTTCTTTGCAGGCATCCATGGATTACATCCATCCATCCATTGATACCATCAGGTGGACTGTAAATTCATTTGTCCCTTAAGTTTTATAAAAAAAAAAAATAGACTTTGTGAATATATCGTAACTGTCAATTAAGTCATGATAAATAATGATTATTCAGTAGAATATCATGCACTCAGATATTTTCTCTTTCTTAGTGCATAGTAAACTTATAAATCATTTTATCGCGCTATGAAAAGTCAAAACGTAATTTAGAATAGGGCTAACTATTACTACGTCTGTGGCACGGAACATTGCCATTTTGGCTACTGTAATCTCGACTTGTAAAGATGAATAAAATAGGCCTGTAATACATTATCATGCATCTCACATTCCCGCCTTTCTTACAAATACTGTTCCATGCAATGGTCGGTTTGAACATTGTGTTGAAAGGGGTAAATATCATGTAATCAGACCCGGAAAGCCATGTCTCAATATACACATGACTCGGAGTGTGTTCCGAATTGCGATATACACTTTAAGGTGTGATGTAATAAAGGATACTGTGAAGCCGTTCCTTTTTAGTTTGCTATACTGGTTACTGTTTAAAATGGAACGCAGTCCAGTATACTGTCATCCCCATTTCGCGACACTGCTTTCAAATGAAAATATTTATCATATATATATACGTTTTCTGTTCAACAAGACAAAAATATTATTTGAATGTTGTTGCTTTTAAAACTTAATGTCCGATATTATTTAAATAACAATATTAATTAATAATAATGACAGTCATTCGTGGAAGTTGATAAATCTCTAGGCGTTGTTGTTTTATTTTTTGATCGAGTGATCAAATCCAAATACTGAGAGCACCTTACCTCGAAAGCGCCAGTGCTCACAGTACAAAAATGGCGGCGGTTGATGACGTCATATATTTCCCTAGAGTACTGCGGCAGTATACTGTCAGTCAATAGCGGAACGAATTTTTCACCAGTGAGAGCACTGAGCAGTGCATGCAGTGTATATCGGAACATACCCTTGATCTTGATAGCTATGAACTTAGGCCATGGCATCATGCGGTCATATGTGTGAAAATTACAATGAGAAGATCTAGCTGTTTTTTTGTCTTTAGCAAAGCTATAACTTATGTCCTCTTTGAAAAAAATTCGCTCAGACGTGGAGTTGCGCAAATCAGGCCGTCTTAATTAATCAATCAATCCCTTTTTGTATACAGGACTTTCATGTATACAATATAAAAACTATTTTTTTTTCAATCGAAGCGCCATCATCACTTGAAGCCGGATTTGGATTAATTTTTCTGATTAATTTGGATAAATAATAGGCTTAATATTTCCGTCCTTTGAAACATTCATTGTAAGGCTCTCAATAAGACTAATTGGCCAATATTGTCGGTATTAAAATCCTAGTATTATTAACATTATTGCATAATATTCATTAATACTTTTGTCAGTTATTATTTTAAAAAAAAAATCGTTAGTAACCTTAGTTTTGTATTCTTAGAATTAGTATTAGTTTATGGTAACAAATATTATGCTCCTTTATTAATTATAAATTTCTCAGTAAACCTTTTTAGAATTAGTTTATGGTTACATATATTATGCTCCTTTATCATATGTTTTATTTAAAAACGGAAATAATCGTTATCGTTATCTTCGATTATTAAGCGCAATGATCGTAATCGGTAAGTGATAATCGTTTCATCACTAATTAAAAGTTCCTAAAATAGATATAATTTGCATACACCCACACTTGTCAAAGGTCCTAAAACTGCATAAGTATAAAAATATGGTGCATTTTTGCCGTATTCATTATATTTTACATTATTTTTTTACCTTAAAATTTTACGCTGCATTGCATGTAAGATTAAATAGAATATGCTATACAAAATACATTGTTTGAAAAGTTGTTTGAGAAAAATTATAGAGTATAATATACACCGCCACTAAACTTAGCGGTCCCTGTTTATTGTTACTATTTACAATTTATTTTACAATTACAATGTATTAAATAATAAATAAAAACGAAATTAATAGAGAAAGGACCATATTTTAGGCATTGAATAATGTTAAAAATCGATATAGAATACCGAGTAGATATTACTTTATTTAATAACGTTTTAACTTATGTATCATTTCTAAGCCGAATATTGAAATATGTGTTTTTGACGACAGCCGATCAAGGTCGCCCAAACCTGAGCGTAATCTTCCATGTTCACCGAGACCAGAAAAAAGGATACAGAGGATTGTAGTTCCACGGGAGAGGTTCAAACTTAAGCTTTCTTTGTAGATTGTTAGTGTATCCTAACATAAGTATTTTACGTTATTATTATTTTTCCAATTTCGATGTTAGATGTTCTTTGAAGTGACCCTGTACTGCAGCGGTGTATATTACAATTGTCTGTCGCACGATGAATAGATATCGGTTATTGTACTGGTATATAGATATTGTATCTATATACAATTTATTTCTCTCTGCTATGTTCGAGTCGTTCATCACACGAAACACGAAATACAACAGCATTATGTTCACGTTGTCTAATCAACGAAATCAACAATCGTAGAAAATTCCATTGCTTGTCGTTTGCGTGGAAATGACGAAGCAAATTTGCTTCGTACACAATAAAACTGCTTGTTGTCACAGAATACCAGCGTAAAATAGTAGATTAATGCTGCTTTGTTTCGTGTGGTGAGTGTAGAGAACCGGAGTCCCTTTTTACTGGAAATGAGGCATTCCATCTTAGTCCTCACGGCTGACAACGCATCTGCATTTTGATTCGTAATCAATGATAAATGTAGATATCTATTGGGCCATAGCAACCACTTACCATCAGGTGGACTGTGTGCTCGTTTGTCACGCTTATCCTATTAAAAAAAAAAAAGAGGTGAACTTTGGGGGGTTTGTTATTCTCATAGTATAAAAATAAATTGAATATATTTATTTTCTCTTTATAGGGGGAGTCGAACACTTCCGTACTACAGGTGCTCGTCTTTATTACAACGAATGATTATAATTTTGCTGCACTATGAAAGTAATGTTTATTTTTCTTTTTTTCTTCTAAAGGACACAAAGGAGGTCGTCTTCACCTCCAAGAAGGTTTTTATATTTCAAATAATTTATAATTAGCGTTGGAGTAGTTACGTAACCATGTACCAGCCTATATTTAAGCGTTGCAATATTTTAGTTACGTTAAAGTTAAAATCGGATAGAAATAGTACAGAACGTGTCATCTCATGATCGATAAATGTAGATGTCTATGGGCCGCAGCATCCACTTACCCCAGGTGGACTGTGTGCTCGTTTGTTATTATTCTATAAAGAAGACAGTAATCGCCTACAATGAGATGGACTTTGGGGTGGTTTGTCATTCTTATGATATTAAAAATATTATTAAGTATATTTATTTTCTCTTTGTAGGGGCAGTCGAACACGTCCGTGCGACAGGTGCTCGTCTTTATTACAACGAATGATTATAATTTTGCTGCACTATGAAATTAATGTTTATTTTATTTTTTCTTCTTCTAAAGGACACAAAGCAGGTCGCCTTCACCTTCAAGAAGGTTTATATTTCAAATAATTTATAGTTAGTCTTGGAGTAGTTATGTAACCACGTATAACCAGTCTATAATTAAACGTTGCAATATTTTAGTTACGTTAAAGTTGAAATCGGTACGAAACAGTACAGGACGTGTCATCCCATGATCACCAATACGTTGCTAAAAGCAAATTTATATTTGTCGTAGGATCGAGTTTCATTGATTACGTCAACAGTCACGGGTTTTTGTATGAGGAAAATATTAGATTTTTTCGTAGTACAGTCTTATATTTATTAATGCTTAGTCTTGTTAATCAATTTAGTTGTTTAATTTTGCTTTGGTTGGTAGTATATTATAGATAATATATTCATTAAGTAGATAAATAGCTATTATAGTTTTAAAACTCAGGGAATTGTTTCGGTAACACGGAAAATAAGTTGAGCGAAATCAGGTATTGCTTCAAAAAAACAACATTTAATTTAATTTAATCAATCAGCGAGTTCTACATGCTTTATAGGCCCCATTGTATATAAATAGATAATGTGTGCTAATTAATGTATCGACTTATATTCAAAGCTTAACCTATTATATCTAACTGAACTAATCAATTAACATTTATAAAGCTTAAAATATAATTTATATCGTGACTGTCAATTTGTGAGTTGAGCGCGCCGCTTTCTCAAAAACCGACAAATCATTTCAACTTCGGAAAGGAAAACCCTAGACAAGCTTCTTTAAACGGACCATAAACAAGACGCGACAGTTTGTAACAAATTAATGCTTAACCTCTCAGATCTCGACGTTGTATCGGACCGATTCTTTCAAACCCGTGGTCAGGCCAATCAATATTTTTTTTGTTCTCAAAACCAGGCTCTGTCACCTAATGTATGGAACCTATGCGACATTAATAACATTGCTATTGAATAAACTGTCGGATTCGTAGGTCGATGTAGTACTTGACACACCGTGTAGATGGTGCTGTTACAGAATTATTACATTTCTGAGATTTGTCTTATCAGATTTCTATTCTCTTCCACGCACTAAGCCAATTGTCGTATTTATCTGTCATTAAATCGAAAACGTGTCGATTGTGTCGATATTATCGTAGAATATTTTTTCCTCCTTATCCAACAATATAACAATGTAAAATGCACCGTCATCGACATATTTGTACAAATTCGTATAATACTTTAAAAATTACTGGACAAGTAGAGATTCAACAATATATCAATATTAGCGGTATAGTGTAAATTATATTTTGTCGAAATGTTAATTATGGATGATTAATTCGAAACTTACATACTAATAATGGTGCTTCGTTTTTTTAATTTGTAGTTACTTACATATTGGACTAGGAGTTTACTATGAATCATTTAATTTAAAATATACTTGAATAGCAAGTGTTATTATTTTATTTATTTTAATAGCTACATTTATAGGATATGTTTTACATTGAGCTCAAATATCATTCTGAGGAGCAACAGTTATTCTATGTCTCTCCCACAAATAAGAATCCTACGACACCTTATACAGTGGATTTCATTTATTGCGACCTTGGTTGTAGCGACCATTTACCTATAGCGACGTTAAATCTAAGTCCCTCGAATTTAAAGCATATTTTAGTACAAAATTCAAGTGGCTATAGCGACTTTGGATGTAACGCCGAGTTCGGGTATAGCGACTGTTTTTAATGAATTATTTGTAACAAATTCCTAGAAATCCCATGCAGATATTGCGACCGGAGTCGGCGGCCAAAGACACAAAAATTTCTTTCTTTCACAAACATTTCTTATATTTTGTTTACATCCATACAGATGGTCAGCAAGTGTGGAGACCTTTATCTTTTGTTAATAAATATCAGCTAAATAGGTAGAGAAGCGTGTACGTTTCGGAGTTAAATTTATGGTTCAGTTACAAAGTGATATTCTGAGTAACAACTGTAATGTATTAAATTTGTTACCTTTGCTTGTAACGACATATAACGACGAAAACAGAGTGGTCCTTTCATTGTCGTTATACCCGAAATCCACTGTATTATGTTACAAAAGTGGTAAAATGAAAAAAAAATGTACAACTGACTTCAATATAAATAAAATGAGAATATCATCAATGTGGACTACATGAAAAGATTTCAAATAAAAATGAATCAGTAAAATCGGTTCACCTAGAAGGTTTCGAGGTAATACAAAAAAAAATACAGTCGAATTGAGAACCTCCCCCTTTTTTGAAGTCGGCTGATGAACCACTTTATGTTGTCAAAACGTCAAGCTTCAAAGTATTCTACAATATTATGTTAAAAAAAAGTGAATATAGAATTTTAAAAACTAGAATGTATGAAATAACTACCACATAATTTAATATCATCATCATTACAACCTTTCATAAGTCCACTGCTGAACATAGGCAACGAATGCCACAAATCACGGTCCTGAGCCACCTGCATCCATCGACTTCCTGCATGTCTTACCAGGTCGTCACTCCATCTCGTGGGGGGTCGCCCTACACTTCGCCAACCGGTACGAGGCTGCCACTCGAGAACCTTTCTTCCCCATCGGTTGTCGGTTCTTCGAGCTATATGGCCGGCCCACTGCCACTTCAGCTTACTAATCCGTTGGGTTATATCGGTTACTCTGCTTCTACTGCGGATATCCTCATTTCTAAGTTTATATATATATATATATATATATATATATATATATATATAAGAGAAACCTTGAGGGACCTTGAGCTTCCTCATACGGCCAGCAGTGAAGGACCACGTCTCAGATCCGTAAGTCATCACTGGCAACACGCACTGGTTGTAAAATTTCGTTTTAAAGTTTTGAGGTATGTCTGACGAGAAGATGTGTCGTAGTTTCCCGAACGCTGACCAGCCGAGTTGAATCCGTCGGTCGACCTCTCGGTCGAAGTTGGACTTACCTAGTCGGACTATTTGTCCCAGGAAAACATACTAGTCAACAACTTCGAGCTTAGTGCTCCCAAAAACTACCGGCATAGGTGTGACATGGACATTAAACATGATCTATGTTTTGTCCATGTTCATCTTAAGACCTATCCCTTGGGAGACACTATTGAGGTCATTGAGCATGGTACTTAGTTCCTCCAGCGATTCTGCCATAAGGACTATATCGTCGGTCGTCGGCAAATTGAAGGTGAGTGATGTACTCGTCATTGATATTAATACCGTATCCTTTCCAGTCCAGAAGCTAGAAAACGTCTTCCAATGCAGCGGTGAAGAGTTTCGGGGATATAACGTCACCCTGTCTAATACCTCGCTGCAATTGGATAGGTTTCGTATTCTGGTTCTGTACTCGGATAGCCATCGTAGCCCTACTGTACAAGCACTTCTGCACTTCGATATACCGACAGTCAATTTGGCACCGCTGAAGGGACTATGAGAAAGCCTTTGATTCCGTCGAAATTTGGGCGGTGCTGCAGTCCCTTCAGCGGTGCCAAGTTGACTGTCGGTATATCGAAGTGCAGAAGTGCTTGTACAGTAGGGCTACGATGGCTATCCGAGTACAGAACCAGAATACGAAACCTATCCAATTGCAGCGAGGTATTAGACAGGGTGACGTTATATCCCCGAAACTCTTCACCGCTGCATTGGAAGACGTTTTCAAGCTTCTGGACTGGAAAGGATACGGTATCAACATCAATGGCGAGTACATCACTCACCTTCGATTTGCCGACGATATAGTCCTTATGGCAAAATCGCTGGAGGACCTAAGCACTATGCTCAATGACCTCAATAGTGTTTCCCAACGAATAGGTCTTAAGATGAACATGGACAAAACTAAGACCATGTTTAATGTCCATGTCACACCTATGCCGGTAGTTGTTGGGAACACTAAGCTCGAAGTTGTTGACGAGTATGTTTACCTGGGACAAATAGTCCGATTAGGTAAGTCCAACTTCGACCGAGAGGTCAATCGACGGATTCAACTCGGTTGGGCAGCGTTCGGGAAATTACGGCACATCTTCTCGTCAGGTATACCTCAAACCTTGAAAACGAGATTGTACACCCAGTGCGTGTTGCCAGTGATGACATACGGAACTGAGACGTGGTCCTTCACTGCTGGCCGGATGAGGAAGCTCAAGGTCGCTCAGCGAGCTATGGAGAGGGCTATGCTCGGAGTTTCTCTGCGTGATAAACTTAGGAATGAGGATATCCGCAGTAGAACCAGAGTAACCGACATAGCCCAACGGATTAGTAAGCTGAAGTGGCAATGGGCCGGCCATATAGCTCGAAGAACCGACAACCGATGGGGAAGAAAGGTTCTCGAGTGGCAGCCTCGTACCGGTAGGCGAAGTGTAGGGCGTCTCCCCACGAGATGGAGTGACGACCTGGTAAGACATGCAGGAAGTCGATGGATGCAGGTGGCTCAGGACCGTGCTTTGTGGCATTCTTTGGGGGAGGTCTATGTTCAGCAGTAGACTTGTGAAGGGCTGTAATGATGATGAATGATGATGATGATGAAGGGACTGCAGCACCGCCCAAATTTCGACGGAATCAAAGGCTTTCCATAGTCCACATACGCCAGACATAGTGGCAAATTGTACTCCTCGGACTTCTGTACAAATCTCCGAAGGGTATGTATGTGGTCTATGGTGCTAAAGCCCTTTCGGAAACCGGCTTGTTCGGGAGGCTGGAAGTCGTCAATTCTGCGCGCGAGACGATTCGTAACGACTCGAAAACAGCACGTAAACGCGGCTCAGAAGGGAAATCGGTCTGTAGTTCTTCAAGAGAGCGTTGTCACCTTTCTTGAAGAACAAGACCACCGCACTTCTGCTCCACGCCTCTGGTGTAGTGCCACCATGGAGGACGGAATTAAAAGAGCTTCTGAAGGACTTCAAGTACCGTACATAATTTAATAGTTTCTTCATAATTTAATTTGGCTCTCATATTAAGTTGTACTTGTTTTATTGAATCTTTTGCGTCCTACGGGTGTCGTAAGAGACAAGGGATCTATGGGAAATCTCTCGTATAGCTATCTCGTTTACTCCCAGACTGGCGTCAGGGAAGAGCGTCAAAGGTGCGAGATGTCAAGCAAAGTAAAGCATAGTGAGATATGCCCACGTCCAGCTGTAGACAAAGAAGTCCTTATTTGTTGCCAACACGTTCTTGGCATTTTTTTTAATTAATCCACACATTTATTTTACAGTTCGAAATTGAAATGGGCAATTCTGGCATTAGCAGGCGCCATCATCGTCGGTGTAGTTTTGCGCAAGTACCTGCGTTAACTGAAGAAATTTCATGGAGATAGAAAAGGGTCCAAAAAACAGATGGAACTGGTTCTCACCAGTGCAGGCTAGTTTAAGTCGGTTACCGTACCAATTGTTGATGGATATCTAGTTATTTTTTCTTAGAATTAGCTTTTTAAAAGGAAACCCTTGTAAATGTGAATTTCAACAACACATTACAGGCCTGGAATTTTCTCGCATTTTATAGTATATTTTTTAATATTGTAGATAAATGTACAGTGTAAAACGTCACATCGCACTTGACACCATTAATATACTTAAGAGTTATTATAGTGCTTTGAAACTATAAAACATCACTGCAATATGTCGACTTTACTATCTAAATTTTAGTAGGCATTTATGAGAGTAAAAAAAAATCGCACATGTGCCATGAGCGAGACGAATTTTAAATATTTTGCTTATTATATCGTCATTGTCATTTCGCTAATTGTATCTCAGTTCTTAGCGATATCATCGTCATTTCACGCCCATCACAAGACCTCTGATGATACGCCGCCTCCATAGATCGCCACAAAACATTGCCGAGTTCTACAGTACCTGATGAGTCACCTACATTCATGTCCTACAGTTTCATCAGGTTGTCACTTCATCAGAGGTCGCCCAACAATACGTTTCCCGTTACGAAGACCACTCTAGGACCTTCTTCACCATTGATTATCAGTTTTAATCATATCCGTATCATTTTAGCTAAGAATTTGAGAAAAAGATAAGTTTGTGTGGAACTAGCTAATTAATTTACTAATTTTTCAAGCTATCTACGCATTTTTGAGCAATTCTACTCATTGACATATTGCAGTGAATTTTTTTTACACTTATTTTTGACCATGTGATATAATTATATTTTGATGTATTTATTTATTTAAATGAATTTATATTTGTTATTTAATGTCTAATATTACCTGTCTATATACTCAGTGTTGTGACAATAAAGTACCTATATCTGAAAATTATTTTGTTTGTTTTTTAAACCTATTAATATCTAGCCACTTAATCGTACCACATTATAAGGAATCGTGCTTTGTACTTCAGCAACATTTTATTAACATTGTCGGTAACATCTTCATATTATGTAGATGCAGACAATGTTGATAATAAACCTGTTGAAAACCTGCTTCATTCTTTTATTGAGCAACAATATTAACAAAATGTTTAACGACTTTTAGGTATTCGTGATAATGGCTGGAACATGAATTACTTCGGTTTGTTAAACCATTTTAAACGTACGTCAAAGATGTGTAAGATAAAGAAAAAGGCTCACCTGCTCCGCCGGGAATCATTGCAATCGTTACCAAACACATTTTTGTCTATTTCTACTGCGAGGCAGCAGTGGGCTTCTTCTTGTCTTCCGGTGTGAAGATATTAAATTCAGTAATTATAATATAATTTGTGGAGGAGATCGCTACCACGCAGTTTGTAAATTTTTTCATACTAATTGTGTAAAATAATATATTGTAAATTAATTTTATAATAATTTAAAATTAAAAATTTTGTACAGCCGACTTCAATATAAGTTATTTAAGAATAACTCAATAACCATTGGTCTGACCTTAATCAAATTCATATGGGACCACACGAGAACTATCAGCTTTCATATAAAAAAAGAATCATCGAAATCGGTTCCCCCAGTACAAAGTTATGAGGTAACACACATAAAAATAAAACATAAAAATGTACAGTGGAAGAGCCACGCGGCAGCTTTTGCTGTCGCACGGATGGGCCGGTTCCAACCGGGGTAGTACCACGACCTCACAGAAAACCAGCCTGAAGTAGAGGTTTACCTCTGCGTTTCGCTTGGTGAGTGCAGGTGGCCGGAGGCCCTTTTTACTGGAAATGAGGCATTCCATCTTAGTCCTCACAGGTGACAACGCATCTACATTTTGATTTGTAACAGAGGATAGATGTAGATGTCTATGGGCCGCAGCAACCACTTACCATCAGGTGGACTGTGTGCTCGTTTGTCACCCTTCTCCTATAAAAAAAAAAAACACTCGAATTGAGTACCGTCTCCTTTTTGAAAGTCGGCAGAAAAGAATAAACCCGCTGGGTATCTTACTGGTTCTTCCCAGGACAGAGGTTTTTTCCGAACCAATGGTAATAAAAATGATTCTATTCTATTCTGTCCATATGAAGTTTACATATTACATAACTCAACATACAACTATGAATTATGTAACATGTACTAAAAGTATGAATAAAACCACCTTTAAGAAACAGGAAAAATCTTGAGAAGTGTGAAGAATAAAAAAAATTAACGCGATAAAACCGGTAAAATTAGTTTTATGCAATACTAGCTGTTCCTCGCGTTAATCATTAATATAATATGTTTGTCAATAATAAGGAACTCCGTTCCAACCGAGTGTTCCACGACACTCACGCATGTGTTTTGAGTTTTTCTATCAAGAAATTCTCCGTAGTTGCCCGGAGTTAGGAAGTTGGCGGTATTTTAACCCGGTACCTCGAAAAACACGTAAAGCTGTTGGACCTGCGCGGTGATTTCTCTCTAAATAAGAGTGCACCTGTGCTTTCGTTCACCCTCGTACATTTAGGCTAGACTCCGTTTTGACTGGCCGCGGTGACCGTAACCTAGTCAAGGGGACATTAATAGTGTCCGCGTAATTTTAAGAATTCTTAACTCGAAAAAACTCGTGATAGTTTTTTTTTATTGAATAATGTTGACAAACAAATACACAGTCCACCAGATGGTAAGTGGATACTATGTCCCATAGGCATCTACATCTATCCTTGGTTCAGAATCAAAATGCAGATACGTTGTCACCATGAAGTTATTTGTCATCCCTGAGGACCATTGAATTCTATGTACTTCGTACTAGAGAAGCTGTTCCAAACAAAAATTGTGCGCTAGTCTACGTCTTCGCGCATGCGCGGGAGATAGTAGAGTCGCGTATGCGCGAAGACTAATTTAATATAAAATAAGATATTAATATAAAATAAATATAAGAATTTAATATAACATACTCTTATTTTAATCTAAACAAAGATATTTCTTTTGTAATAATAATTATCTTATGGAATGCACAGATCTTCAATTTACGCAATAATATTTAGTTTACTGTACGGATTGCAGTACAGTTCAAATGAACATAGTCAATGTTCGGAATGCCAAATCTAGTGCGTAGTACATAGATATGGATGCTGAGGACTAAGATGGAATGCCTCCCTTCCAGTAGAAAGGGTCTCCTGGTTCTTTACACTCACCATACGAAACATAGCAGCATTAAACTGTTATTTTACGCTGGTATTCTATGAGAGCGTGGTCCATTGGTGCTACAACCACAATATAGCTGTAGTATGGCTCTACCACGTAAACATTACACAAGATTAACAAACAAAGTATATTTGATCTAGCTAAAATTAATTTGTACACTTGCAACTATAAAAATGGTATTAAAACAGTCATAAATATAACACCAAGACTGATTTGTGTTGAGTACGCGTTTGAGTAGGGTCCAAGTTTGGCTGCATAGGCGACGGCGTGGTACACGTAGTGCTGCTCGTGAACGTTGTGGAACAGGTGAGCGTGAGGACCTGCGAAGAAGCGATTATTAAAATCACCACCCTTTCGTTGCCACGCATTCGAACCAAACGGTTTGCTTCATCGTTCGCCATTCAACAAATGATTGGAATAAGTTGCCAACATCTGTCTTTCCATCCGATTACAATAGATGTCGTCAAGGTAAGAGATTTTGCTAAGTCAGTGCGCATCACCATCTTCGGCTGTATCACCACTTACCATCAGAATAATTAATAATTTAAAAAGTGTAATAATTTAAAATTAAAAATTTTGTACAGCCGACTTCAATATAAGTTATTAAGAATAACTCAAAAATTGTTGGCTTGACCTTGATAAAATTCATATGGGACCACACGAGAACTACCAGTGATTAAATAAAAAAAAAAGAATTTTTGAAATCAGTGCACCTAGTAAAAAGTTATGAGGTAACACACATAAAAAAAATACAGTCGAATTGAGTACCGTCTCTTTTTAGGAAGTCAACAGAAAATAATTTAAAATAAAAAATTTTGTATAACCGACTTCAATATAAATTATTAAGAATAACTCAAAAACTATTGGTCAGACCTTGATCAAATTTACTACCACATGTGAAGCACTAGTTTTCAAAAAAAATTTTGTACAGCCGACTTCAATATAAGCGACTTCAATATAGGTTATTTAAGAATAACTCAATAACCTTTGGTCTGACTTTGACTAACACGAGAACTATCAGCTTTCATATAAAAAATGAATCATCGAAATCGGTTCGCCCAGTACAAAGTTATGAGGTAACACACATAAAAAAAAAACATACAGTCGAATTGAGTGCCGTCTCCTTTTTGGAAGTCGGCAGAAAAAGAATCATCGAAATCGGTACACTCAGTAATAAGTTATGAGGTAACACACATAAAAAAAAAAAACATACAGTCGAATTGAGTACCGTCTCCTTTTTGAAAGTCGGCAGAAAAAGAATCATCGAAATCGGTACACTCAGTAATAAGTTATGAGGTAACACACATAAAAACAAAAAAAAACATACAGTCGAATTGAGTACCGTCTCCTTTTTGGAAGTCGGCAGAAAAAGAATCATCGAAATCGGTACACTCAGTAATAAGTTATGAGGTAACACACATAAAAACAAAAAAAAACATACAGTCGAATTGAGTACCGTCTCCTTTTTGGAAGTCGGCAGAAAAAGAATCATCGAAATCGGTACACTCAGTAATAAGTTATGAGGTAACACACATAAAAACAAAAAAAAACATACAGTCGAATTGAGTACCGTCTCCTTTTTGGAAGTCGGCAGAAAAAGAATCATCGAAATCGGTACACTCAGTAATAAGTTATGAGGTAACACACATAAAAACAAAAAAAAAACATACAGTCGAATTGAGTACCGTCTCCTTTTTGGAAGTCGGCAGATAAAGAATCATCGAAATCTGTACACTCAGTAATAAGTTATGAGGTAATACACATAAAAAACATACGGTTGAATTGAGTACCGTCTCCTTTTTGAAGTCGGTAGAAAACTAAAAAAAAAACACGCTTTCGTAGATAAGCGAACTAAAAAGTAGAAAATAATTTTCAACAAGTTTAAAATAAGATAATAGTCATTAATATAAAATTAATATAATATAATTTCGTATTGTAAAAAAGCGTGAGGTGATTTTTCAAATAATTTTATGGTGACGCTAATTTTACAAATATCCACAAAAATATTTACAACAAATGACATCAAGGGACATTATATAAATGATATTATGGCATAAATAACAATTAAAAAAAAATGTATTTCTGTCAGGGATAATCTGCGAAATGGTTGAACCGATTGTGATCAAGCTTTACAAACAGATAGAGAGTACCTAATACGAGAAGGCATCTAGATTTTAAGTAAAAGTCTTTGATTATCTTAAGTCTAAATAACGCCACATTAGTAGATCTCACAAGGCGAAGCCGTGGCGGGTCGCTTGTATAATAATAATAAAATGATTTTTTTTATAGGATAAGGGTGACAAACGAGCACACATTCCACCTGATGGTAAGTGGTTACTGCGGCCCATAGACATCTACATCTGTCCTCTATTACAAATCAAAATGCAGATGCGTTGTCACCCGTGAGGACTAAGATGGAATGCCTCTTTTCCAGTAAAATGGGTCTCCGGTTCTCTACACTCACCATACGAAACACAGCAGTGTTAAGCTGCTATTTTACGCTGGTATTCTGTGAGAGCGTGGTCCTTCCCCGGTCGAGCCGACCCATTCGTGCTATAACATACCAGTAATATAGCTGCAGCATGGCTCTACCACGTACAAAAAAGTACTTTAAAAAAAACTGAGCGTAGCTTTAAAAAAATTTACCTCTAGCGTATATAGCGACGTCACCACCACCGTGGCTGTTCTCGTCCAAAGGAATGGCGGCAATCTGCTCATACATGAAGCTCTCGGTGTCCTCTTTACTAGGATCTCTTCGCATCACTCTAGTTTCTCCGTCCTTAGTCTCGACTGAGTATTGGAAGGAGCCAGGTCCTCCGGTACCGTAAGATAGAGTTGTGTAGTTGACCTGGTCGAAGGGCGATTCTCTAACAATTCCTAGGATAAAAATAAAACTGGTTTTTTATACGAGTACGGTACTAGCTGGCCTAGGCGCGTTTCTACTGTAGAAGAAATAATTTTAGAAATCTCGTTTCAAATTTGGAAGAGTTATATTGTTTAATTGGGAATGGTAATATATTTTTTGAAATCTATAATAAAAAAAAACTAAAACTAGTAACTTAATTATCATACAATCCAACTCCACGCAGTATCGTGCCATGAACGCTGGCTGCGTTTGCTCGCTGAATGGCTATACTTAGCCTTTGAGCGAGAAAAGAGCCAGTCTTCTTATCACCAGCAGCAAAGACCAGCCGCGGATGGAGATCCTTTAGGAACTTCACCGCACGCGGACCCCACGGACTGATAGTCTCTACAGCAAATGGCACAAATATATAGTCATCTCTCAGATACTCATATTTGCGCCACTTACTCAGTTTGGCTGCCTCTGATGCCGCCCCGGCTCTAAACGAGGTACCCTTGAGATGAGAGGCCGCCAGAGTGTCTACGCAAGTAACATTCCCCACTAAGGCTTTACCTTTCTCCCAAGGGACCAATATCATACCGTCGGGTCTCCTGCCATCGTCTCTAAATATTCCACAAGACTCTAAAAACGAGGTAACATTTATAAAGACAAAGAACCGTGCCGTGAAAAACTACCAGCACTTTTCTTACGTGAAAACTACTATAACTTTTAAATAAATTTGTCGGTACGATACGCGCGCCACCTACATAAGTAGTACTCGTAATATGCCCGCAAGTGCAAGCAATACGTTAACAAAGTTTTAAATATTATAACCTGATGAACGATAAAGCAGCGCATAAAATACGAACAAACAACATACATTTTTATATATTAGATTATTTATATATATTATTAAAATTGTATTTTTTTGTACCCATTTGAGAGGTCTTAGCAAGCTTTCACGCTTGTACATGCTCAAGGTAACGTCTAAATAGTTAGTTTTTAATTATTACAAAATAAGGGTGATAAACGAGCACACGGTACACCTGATCGTAAGTGGATGCTATGGTCCGTTCATCAATCCTCGATTAAGAATCAAAATGTAGATGTGTTGTCACCCCTGAAGTCTAAGATATAATGCCTTGTTGCCAATAAAACGGGATTCCGGTTTTTTACACTCACACTACCAGTAGCATTCACTGCTATACGGAAGACAGAACAAGTGGTGTTTTTTGCCATTATTTCTCTGGATCACTTCATCGGGTACCGGAACAAACTTTTGTATGAAGTCGAGTCGTTATTAAACAGTCTCGGATTGGGGACGACTAAATCTATTCCAGTTTAACCCTCAGAAGACACAGGTTTGCGCGTTTACCGTTAAAAAGAACCCCCTTTGTATTTGAACCCATAAATTTCGGGGCACTCCCCTTGCTGCCTCAGCTAGTATCGGAATCTGTCGTCATATCAAATGATGTGCAGTTTCGTGGTCATTTAGAAGAGAAGGCTAAATTGGCCTTTTTAAAAGCTTGGCGTGCTCAGGAGAGCGAGATAGTATTTCATACTGGCACACCGCTTGCAACTTTACATGGCGCAAGTTCGATCTCACATGGAATATTGTTTTCATCTCTGGACCGGGGCATCCCAGTGCCAGCTCCTTCCACTTGACCGCATCCAGCGCAGAGCGACTCGAATCGAGTTCTTTCTGATCGCATCTACTAGTGCTCTAAGGAATTGTTCGTATTAATCCCAGTTACCCAATTTCACTAATGCACATAGCGACAAAACTTACAATACCATCCACACCATCTGGATGCTTAGCGGTGCACCACTGTGCGTTTCACCAGGAGTTTTCTTCCTCGCACAACCGCTGTGGAGTCGTTTACCACCGGCGATTTTTCCGGACCGATACGACTTCAGTTGTTCACCTTTAGTCATTTAACATCAGGTGAGGCGCATGCTCGTTTGCCCCTTCTTCTATACACAAAAAAGTCAAAATCGAAACAGAGCAGCATTAAGCTGCTATTTCTCGCTTGTATTCTGTGAGAGCGTGGTCCTTTCCCCTTCAAGCTGATCCATTCATGCTACTTCCATAATATTATGGTCCATTCAATTTTATAAAAAACTAGCTGTTCCCCGCGACTTCGCTCGCGTATTATGGTTTTTATGTTTTTGCGCGGAACCCTAATTCTTTTTCTGAAATAAAAGTAGCCTAAGTTACTCCTTATGAAATCAGCTATCTGCCAGTAAAAGTCTTGTTAAAATCGGTTTAGCCGTTTCGGAGATTAGCCGGAACAAACAGACTGACAGACCGACAGACAAAATTTTTAAAAATTGTAATTTAGTTATAAAGTACCGTATTTGCTTTCATATGCATTTAATAAAAAACTGTAATCTTGACATTACAAACAGACACTTCAATTTTATTTATTTGTATAGATAAGGTTCTTGATGCATTCTTGATCCCTTACCAAAGATACTGGATCCCCTCTCTGGATAGCCGTTAATGGTCAATGTGTGCGTGTGATCGCTGGTGACAATGATCAGCGTATCCTCTTCGTCCGTCATGTTGATAGCGAGCTGTACGGCACGTTCCATTGCAGCTGCTTCATCTATTGCGGTCTTAGCGCGGCCGCGGTGATGTGCCATGTCTATGTTACCACCTTCTACCTGAAAAAGTGTAAGTGTTTTGCTTTTTGGTTTTAGATAGGAAAGTCACACGATATTCATTTATTCATCATCCATTACCAAGAGTAATATCAGATATAGACCATTTATTGTCCCAAAGGGGGGAAATTAGCCATAGTTGCAAAGCCTAGCAGGCGGTGTGGCAACCGCAGTTTTCTGTAAAGGCGGCTCTTCACGTTGGCCAACATACTGGCGAATATGTTGGCCAATAACGATGGCGATCGTGTAGAGCGGGTGTTTATGCTTACGTTGGTATGTATTGGAATGATGGCCCACAAGTTGGTGCGAGATCCGTGTGGTGTCGGTTTTTTACAAAAGATCAAAGGGTTGTGGCAGAGTTTTGGCCGCCGGGTCCACACATTGGGCGCACGTTCAGTTTGCTACGAGCTCCCAGAGTGATCGCACGCACCTGATTTAAATTTTATATGCACCCAACGTAACTGGTGTCTACGTAATGGCAGTAACAATGACCAATGGAAAAATTTTTCGCTTTACAGAGCCGAAAATTGTTTGTGAAACACAAGTCTTTCAAGTCTTTTTAAAACAAAACGTTACCCCACACTAGGATTTTCTCCTGTATCGTTGAGGCAGTTTACAAACATAAATTGCATAAGGACAAACATCCAGACCCGGAGCAATTATTTGCAGGTCATACAAATACTTGTTCCGTGCACTACGTCATGGAGCCGTCAAGAAATAAAATTTATTTTTTTCCCATTTCTTTTTGATCACCCTTTTCTTATACACATTCACGTTGTAGTGGTATGCTGTGAATAAATAAACTGCAGCAGCCGTTAGCGCATCAATAATCATTTTAATAAATTCGTCCACACATTGGCCTGAACCGAAGCAAACTGAACGACCTTCCAACGTGTGGACGCGATCACACATTCTTGGCCAATATCTCTGCCAACACATTCGCCACTATGTTGTCCAACGTGAAGAGCCGCCTTTACAGAAAACTGCGGTTGCCACATATCAGGAAGTTTACATAATTTATCAACGCAAGCGCGAATAACAATAAGTTGCACTGACTGACTTTATGTGCAAATACATAAAAAAAAATCCTTCAGTGTTGGCCGTATGATGAGGTTCGACCTGGGTAGGACCACGCTCTCGCAGAACACCAGCATAAAATAGCAGCTTAACTCTGCTGTATTGCGAATGTTGTGTGTAGAGAACCGGATATCCTTTTTGCTGGAAAGGAGGCATTCCATCTCAGTCCTCAGAGGTGACAACGCATCTTTTTTTCCTCCTAGAGTCAGTAATTCCTTCATGGGGTAATATATCTGCTTTTACAACAAAGTCCCAGAAAATATGCAGACCTTAACTAGGTATAAAAAGATTTAAAATATTAATTTATGAAGCAAAAATTGTTACGTTTTTTTTTATACGATAAGTGTGACAAGCGAGCATACAGTCCACCTGATGTTAAGTGGTTGCTGTAGCCCATAGACATATCTAAATCTATCCTCATTTGCGAATACAATGCAGATGCGTTAGCAGCCGTGAGAAATAAGATGGGATTTCTTTTTTCCAGTAAAAAGGGTCTCCGGTTCTCTACGCTCACCGAACGAAATACAGCAGTATTAAGCTGCTATTTTACGCTGGTATTCTGTGAGAACGTGGTCCTTCCCCGGTCGAGCCGACCCAATCGTGCTACAACTGTATCATGGCTCTACCGCGTATAAAAGAAATGAACAATCAAAATGCATCTGCATTTTGATTCTTAATTCTTAATTGGGGGCAAATGTAGATGGCTATGTGCCACAACATCCAATTTTGTTTCACACATCGTTTGTCACCCTTATTTTACATACAAAAAGCATAAAGTCGTTCAACAAGCTATGGAGAGCGCTATGTTTCTCTGCTTGATGGAATCCGCAATGATGATATCCGCAGCTGAACTTGAATGACCGTCGTAGAAATCATAATAAAATAAAAATTAATTCAGAAATATTGAGGGCATGATTAATCGTGATGACGTATTAGTCAATTGATTTTATTAAAATTCATCTTTTGTTGCAGATCAACGTATGTAGGTAAAAGGGAGTGGGAAAAATGATTTTCTTTAATTGTAAAGAAAAATAACTAACCATTAGGAAAAATCCGTTCGGGTTCTTCTTCAATATTTTGATAGCCACTTTCGTCATATCGGAGATCGATGGTTGGCCTTCTGGGCCTTTGTTTCTCTCAAATTCGTACTTCATGTGTTCGTTAGCGAATATACCTGGTAATATATATACATATAACGTTTTATTTCGACCAAATTTTTATCTTACACTATAGATAAACCTGATAATCTTTATAAATTATTAGACTATGTTTTTTAATACAATTTGCTTAAAATGTAGAAAACTTTTAAATTTTGTTAACACCGTCGTCGGCGATTTTTGATCGTTTGTGATTTGTGATGGTATTCAATATTCATATTCATACCCGCACCGCATGTATTGCCATGTTTTCCCCGTTTTATAAAATTTTATTATATTGTTTGTGGGTTTGTTTTTTATTTATCCTGTATAAAGGACTAATCGGACAGGGTTTTTTCTACATATTATAGTATACGTCTAATCGTTCGTGTGTCTGTTAGTGTATAGTGATCGTGTAACTCCTGAACTACTTGGCCGATTGGGCTCAAATTCACATATAAATTTAATTGTTTTATCGAGAGAGAGACAGAGAGAGAGAGGGAGAGAGAAAATTCAAAACTATGCAAGGATCCAATAGGTGAAGCTGCAGGCAAATTATTAATTTAAAATGTGAATCATTTTGGTCTATAAATAATTATATACTTCTCTAATTATGAACCAAAATGACTCATTCTTATAATATATTACATTCGTTTAGCGCCAAAAAAGAAAATTGCAAAATATGGACTTGACATGTACTTTTTAATTTTATAGCTTAGAGCAAATAAACGTATGTACCTACTCGGAGTGTTATTGCAAACGTCGGTTTATTAATACATTATAATATGTTTATATACTTTGAAGAGTCCCTAAGTGTAATCGCAGTGAAAGGGCAGAACAACGTCTACTGGGCCGGATAGTTTTATATAAAAGAATATTTGTAAGTAAAGTAAAAGTACAGCCTTTATACGTCCCACTGCTGGGCACAGGCCTCCTCTCATTTCTGAGAGGGTTTTAGGGCAAGGAAGTGTTCGCCGCGCAGCCCCGCGTGCGTGCTGGCAGTGTTCACATTTGTTTTCGAAATATATTTTTATTTCTCAGACGTGCAGGTTTCCTCACGATGTTTTCCTTCACCGTTGAGTACGTTGTAAAGCAGCACTTAATATTGCAATTAACAATTTCACTGGTGCCGGCGTGGATCGAACCAGGGTTGCTTGCGTACTGTGAGATTAACAGCGAGTGCTACGCCCCTGAGCTACCACGGCTCTTAAAACAATACTTGTAAGTAACTAAGTATGAAACATAATTTAACACGAGTCGACTACAAAACATTAATGTTAATACGTGGCAGAGCCAAGCTGCACCTATATTATGGTTGTAGTATGTATGGGTCGGCTCGACCGCGGTAAGACAACTCTCTCACAGAATACCAGCGTAAAATAGCGGCTTACCGCTGCTGTGTTTCGTATGGTAAGTTTAGAGAACCGGATACCCTTTTTACTGGATACGAGACATTCCATCTTAGTGCCTAGGGGTGGCAACGCATCTGCATTTTATTCTTAATCGTGGATAGATGTAGATGTCTATGGGCCACAACATCCATTTACCATCAGGTGGGCTGTGTGCTCGCTTGTCACTCTTATTACGGTTTCATTTAAAACCGACAAAACATTATACGATTATTATTATTGACACATCCTTAAGTTAGACCAGAAATATAGTATTTAGAAATTACATGACCACTAATAAACGATTATATTATAGTTATGTAATATAAAGGCTTAGGAAGAGTACTTACCGAAGAGATACTCAACGTTGTCATCTACATTTTCTAGCTCTCTTGTGTTCGACACAACTTTGTATCTCAGGCCTCTGGTTTCTTTGTCTTTTTTGTAAACGTCAATTAGGTCTCTCCCATCCTGTCTGTAACATGACCAAGAGCTGATGGGGTCGTCTGGAGTTCCAGTGGAGTTTGATACCAATACTTGCCGTCCGCCACCTAGAACTACCTAAAATAAATAATTTTAAAATAAATAATAAGTAAATACTCTACTAGAGTAACAAAATACAACGGGGATTACCAAATAGCTGAGACCCTAGTTATTAAAAGAATTATTCAGAAAAATCTGAAAACAAACATAAATATATACACAGGTGTCTTCTCATTTCTGAGAGAATTTTGACCTAAAACTTATTTTACCTAAATACTAACAAAGATAATAATAGATGTTATTACGAAGATTTGGGCAGACTGATACGAGCGTACTTATTTATCTAAATGTACCATTTCGCTAATTTTGGAACAGTAAACTATAAATATTATTGAAGATAGTAGTGTGACCTAGTTATTTACATCTCTTTGTTTGAAAAAAGCTAGCCGAAATTTCATAAAAACTATGGGAGTGAGGTATTCGATCTCTGATGCTCTCCAAATCCAATCGTAAATGATTGTCAATGGTGGCAGCATCTTCCTATTATGTTCTTGATAAACTGCTTATTCCGTAAGGAATACAGGCGTGTAATATTGAAAATTTATTATGTACATACCTACATGATGTTTTGCTTTACCATCGAGCACGTGGTAAATCAGCACTTATACGTACATAGTGAAATATACGCATTTACATCTGGCGGTGAAGGAGAAAAACTGACATGCCTGAATAATAAAAATATTTTGAGGACACGTGAAGTCCGCCAACACCCACAGGAGCAGTGCGGCGGACTTACTGCTCCGTAATCTGGTGAGGTCTGTGGCTAGCTGGTATACATTTACGACGTGTAACAAAATCCCTGTGGTTACCGATATGTGCGTTATCAAAATAAGTATTCAAACGTATAGAAATAACTAGTACTGGTATGTGGTAGAGCCATGCTGCAGCTACATTATGGTTGTAGCACGAATGGGTCGGCTCGACCGGGGTGGGGCCACGCTCTCACAGAATACCAGCGTAATAGCATCCCAATGCTGCTGTGTTTCGTTCTAACTAAAAATTACATTACTAAAATTACATAATAAATTCATGACTGCAAATGTGAAACATAATTTAAATGTTTCACATTTGGAGTCATGAATTTAGTAGTAGTGAGTAGTGATCAGACACCATTCTCTTAAAGGCTGCAACAGAAGTCGGTTTCCTGATATAAGGAAGTAGTTTATTCCAAAGCCTTATGGCCTCAGCGGTGAAAGACTGAGACGAAACAGTGGTGGAGCAACGCGGCAGCTTTTGCTGTCGCACGGATGGGCCGGCTCGAACCGGGGTGGTACCACAACCTCACAGAAAACCAGCGTGAAGTAGAGGTTTACCTCTGCGTTTCACTTGGTGAGTGCAGGTGTCCGGAGGCCCTTTTTACTGGAAATGAGGCATTCCATCTTAGTCCTCACGGGTGACAACGCATCTACATTTTGATTTGGAATAGAGGATAGATGTAGATGTCTATGGGCCGCAGCAACCACTTACCATCAGGTGGACTGTGAGCTCGTTTGTCACCCTTATCCTATAAAAAAAAAACGAAAATTTGGTACGGCGAGGAAAAACACATAAGGTAGGCCTCGTAGGATCGCAGGTTACCATCGTGAGAAGAACCCAAATACTGAAACATAGGTACACAAAATACTGCATATAAGGTATTGGGGAGTGCATAGATCATATAGGATTGAGTTATTTCTATACGTTTGATTACTAATTCCAATAAGGCACTTAACAGGAACCACAGGGTTTTTGTAATATATTATATAAGCTGTATATAGCTATTTTACATACATGAAGATCCCTTCCCGGCCAGTCCTCAACGAGTTGTCGAGCGATGTCCTTGCACTGCTTAGCATTTGATGGCATGCTGGCCTCACATTCCCAACTTCTCGAAGCGGCGTGAGCGTATAATGGTCCCGGCGTCGCATGAGTCACTCGCATTGTTGTCACGAGTCCTATAAACAAAGCTTGGCTTGTATTTTTTTATGTTTAATTTAATCCCACCAAAAACATAAAAGAACCACCAGACCAGATTGTCTCTTGTCTGTCACTTTCGTCTAATCACTCACCAGCTAGGGCGCAGTCACTGTCAAGTGTCTTTATGGTTATAGCGTCTTCACCACCAGCCTGTTAAACACTGCAACGCTGTGTGTTTTATTCAACACATAAAAAGAGATGCAGGATGTCGATGGATGCAAGTGGCTCAGGACCGTGCTTCGTGGCATTCATTGAGGGAGGCCTATATCCAGCAGTGAACTTGTGATTTTCTGTAATGATGACGATGATGTAAAATATAAATATGAAAAGGGAGCTAAGTTCAATGCAAACTACGTTCGGGGTTGTAGACTCTCCCGATAGGAGAGTTAAGATCTGAACGGGTGTCAAGCTCCATACTCCATTCAGACATCATTATTTTTTACTGTTTGTTAAATACATGTTTTTTTTTAAAATAAAATAAGGGTAACCAACGAGCACAAAGTCCACCTGATGGTAAGTGGATGTTGTGGCCCATAAACATCTACATTTATCCTCAATTAAGATTCAAAATCATGCGTTGTAATTTCTGAGGAATGTGATGGAATGCCTCATTTCCAGTAAAAAGGGTCTCCGGTTCTCTACACTCACTATACGAAACACAGCAGCATTAAGCTGCTATTTTACGCTGGTATTCTGTGAGAGCATGGTCTTACCTCGGCCGAGCCGACTCATTCGTGTTGCAACCACAATAAAGCAGCAGCATGAATCTACCACGTAAACAATGTTTTTCTATTCTAAGAATAAAATAGAATATCATTTTATTCTTATGGTTATTGTTATAAAATACCAATATGAATAATAAACACAAGTTAAGTAGCAAAGAACCTTTCACTACGGCGCTTCTTTTTAAAATGCCAAATTCTCCTGCGGGTGTACGCCGCACGTGGTGACTTTTGATGTCGTGGCGGCGTCTTTGATAAGATGCGGCACGTGCCAAGGCGGCGCGACGCAAAGGCGACCGTATCTAAGCGAACAGACTATACTCAATGCGCTACGAAGTTAAATGCATTTAAAAATGAAAAAAGTAAAGAAGAAAAAGCGCTCCCTGTGGTACAACATCACATACGTTACACCAGGATGATAATGTATCGGCGATGCGTATGCGTTTCTGGTGCCAAGGCAGGTAATTAATAATAATTTCATTGCTACCGGTGGGGATCGAAGCCGGTTTGCTCGTAAATTATCGCATATCTTCTGAGCTAGTCGATGATTGATCCACCTACATTATCAACACATACAAATAAGCGGTAATAGTGTTGTAGCGGCGAAAAATAATTGATCACACCATGTCATCACGTGGTAGGTAATCGCAAAAGGTAGCTATGGAATGTGCAAGAAAAATCTTGTGCCGACAGATGTCAGTATTCCATCTCGTTTACACCAGACTTTAAATACCAAGAAAAAAGGACAGCAAGGTCAAAGGATTGACGATCGCTTTACCAGGCAAATTCTCCTTACGACAAGAGAAGCCTACGTCCAGCAATGAACTTTTACCGGTTCACAAAAAAGAAAGAAGAGAAAGACAAACTAATTTGTCAATTTTTTTATAAAAGGGGGGCAAACGGCGGCTCACCTGATGGTAAGTGACTACCGCCGCCACTGCAGCACCAGAAGAATTGTAGGTGTGTTGTCGGCCTTTTAGAAAAGAGTAAGCTCTTTTTTTGAAGGTCTCTAAGTTATCGCAAAATGAGTGAAGATGTGTTAAAGATTTTATTTGTTGCTACCTACCACTACTCTTTCCCGCGTTTAATGCCAAAGCCGCCAAAGAGTTGAGCCTGGCCTCTTTATTTAATGAAGCCGAGCAGTCGTTGCGGCGTACTGTTGCATCGACGCCCAGTGTACCGTAGTTTGATTTTACCCCGCCAAATAGCGCGGTGGCTGAACACGCTGAATCGGGAACCATTTTGTCAGCGGAATACGTCTAGAAATAAAAATCTCAATGAAAATGAATGAAAACATAAAGCAAGTAAAGATTGGAACACAGACTTTCTGTTACATCTAAGTAGTCTTAGTAACTATTGCGTACTAGAGACTGGGCAAGAATGTAGCAGAGCGGAGCGTTTGGCATGAATTCCACTTTAGTCCTAATGGATAACAACGCATCTGCATTTTGATTCTTAATCGATGATACATTAGATAATTAATAGAATCAGGCGTTACTTTGCGGAAATCCATTATATTAAAGGTTTTAAAAATTTATTTGCTCAGTTCCGCACAATAAAATAAAATGATGTGTCTCACTTAGTATGAAGAGCACCTCCCGTCCTCCCTCAATTGCGTGCACTATCCCCGTCACGAAGTAGACTCTTCTCGAGTCTACGTCCTCTAAGAATGCCTCGCGTAGAGTCCAAACACGTGTCGTATTAGCGAGAGTGGTGTGTTTTTTCTTGTGTAGTGGTGTTGGGAGTAGTTGTGCTGGAATTAGTGGTGACAGGGATAGTGAACGCAATTATTTAACTGCGCGGAACTGAGCAAGTTCATTTTTAACATCTTTAAGACAGCTTAGGTGTCTATGAGGCAATAGCATCCACTTACCAATCGGTGGATTATGTTAGGTTGGTTTGTCTCCTTATTCTATAAAAACCCACCTTAAGCAGTCCAACATGCGGGAACTTTTCAAACGACATCCGATGCGTCTCGCCCCCTTGGTATATCCTAGTAGCGGTAACTGTATTAGGACCCATGCCGTCTCCAACAAAAACGATGACATTCTTAGCTGTTCCGAGATTCCATTTAACTTGAAGGGCTTCATGTAATTCCTTTTCCGCTAAATCTTTCCAGTGTCTTTGATCTGACGAGAAAGTGATAAAAGAAAATCAACTAAGCCCATAAATGGCGCTATGATATAGATGGATGTAGGATCTAAACTATTCAGACCAACGGGGATTAGCAGAGTCGTGTAGTACTGCGATCAAAATAAAAATAAGCGTGAACATCACGCCTGTCACCCAGAGAGATAGACAGAGACTATGGACTTCTATTTGGCACGATCCTGACACACCTCTCTTGCCTCCTCCACATCCATATACCTACGCATACACGCTTGTCGGTTAAGGGTACCTACTCTTAATTTTACCCATTTTCAATATATCGCTAATTTGGTCGATAAACTTTCGCCTAGGGCCCTAGGGCGTCCCTTCCCGATTCCGCCGTTGACTTCTACAAGATAAATTTGCTTTATCACTCTTTCCTCATTCATTCTTTCTACATGAACAAACCAACCAAGCATTCCTTTTTTAATCCTAGTCACAACATCATTTTGTAAACCACACTCATCTCTTATCACACAATTTCTCAATCTGTCATTCAGATTCAGCCCTAACATACTCTTTAATGACTGCATTTCTACAGCATTTATTCTACTTTCGTGCTTCTTCTACCACACCATTAAAGTAGGGACTAACACAGCATTGTGAATTGCCATTTTTGCCTTTTTGGATACGTTCTGACTTTCCACAATAGATTGTAGAGCCCCATTTACTCTATTTCTTGCGTTCTCTCGTCTTTCTATATCCTTATCATGTCCACCATCCCTGCTCAATAAACATCCCAAATACATAAACTCATCTACTTTCTCGACCAACTCGCTTACTGTTCTTATTTCACATATCGTTTCAATCAACAATCTTCGCCAAGAGCTATGAATGACCTCGTTTTGCGATTACCAACTCATAGGCTGATGACGAATTCAAATCCACAATCTCTAGCTCCAAATTACTTGGCTATTCAGACACCTGATATATTAAGATGTGATTGTAAAAACAATGACCAATCGATGAATTCCTGCTTGCCAGCACAGAGTAAGTGTTGCCAGTAACGACTAAACATTGTTAGGTAGCTTGTATATTTTTTTATAGGATAGGGTGACAAACGAGCACACAGTCCACCTGATGGTAAGTGGTTGCTGTGACCCATAGACATCTACATTTATCCTCAATAAAGGATCAAAATGCAGATGCGTCGTCACCCGTGAGGACTAAGATGGAATGCCTCTTTTCCAGTAAAATGGGTATATCATCTAAGATATTAATTTAGTCAGTTTTCGTTCATTTACAACTTATCGAAAGTCCACTGCTGAACATAGACCTCCCCCTTAAATTGACCTACATGTAGAATTTTGTCATAGTTGCTAAGCTTGGCAGCCGGGTTGGCACCTGAATTGTTACTAAACGGTTTTTGATGATTCCTTCATAAATTATAAGGATTATAATAAAAAAAATCTGTCTCTATCTTCTAACACTTATAATCGTTTCTTATAATTTTTTACAACAAAATCGTGACTTGTTAAATGTTAAGGTGAAGGCGAAGAGAAAATAAGATATTTATATAAAATAAATATAAGAATTTAATATAAAATATCTTATTTTAATCTAAACAAACATATTTCTAAATAAAATGTAATAATAATTATTTTATGGAATTCACAAATCTTCAATTTACGCAATATTTAGTTTGTACGGATTGCAGTACAGTTCAGTTGAACATAGTCTATGTTCGGAATGGCTTCTCTAGTACGTAGTACATATAACTCAATGTTTACGTGAAATTAATAGATCATCAATTTTGAGGCAATAGTTAAAACTGAGTTTAAAGTAATTATTCGATAATTGAACTACTTGTCCTATTATAGATCGGCAGGTTCCTTTTGCCCGAGTTCTAGGCAGACGAAGTCGCCGGTAAAAGCTAGTTTAAATATAAAGATCTAAGAAATAATAACAAAACATTTCGAGGACACTTCGTTACCTTTACAGCCTATTAAAGTCCAATGCTGAACATAGGCCTTCCCCATAGATCGCCTCATAGGATATTTGCCATAGTTACCACGCTTGGCAAGCGGTATGGCAACCGCATTTTTTATTTTTTAGTCGTTCATAGGAAAGAAGCTGCTGCATCTCCTGATTTGTTTTCCTCTGTCGCCTCTTACGACTCCCACGGGATGATATGGGCTAGTGGATATTCTTACATCGCCACGCGACTACACGCCACACAGCACACAGGAGACTCAAATACGCCTTAAATAAAGTTAGAGAGGCTGAGGCCAGCAACTGTAGGTACCTACGTAAAAAAGGCGAATATGGACATATAAAAAATATCCGTAATTTTATATTATACAATAATTGTAATTGGATATTTGATCATATTTTATAGAACATTTATTAATGATAATTATCACATTAGTAAGATAAATGCTTGAACCTTATCTGCTATTGATATTTGTTACCTTGAACTACTTAACACAATATAATAAATCAATGTTAATAGAAAGTAACTAAAACCAAATAATTATATTATGTTACGTATTTTCATCGTTGTGTTAAGCTAAAATAACTTTTAAAACAAACAACCGTACAAAAAATACTTGAATGTGAAACACTGAATTATGAACTATTTTAAGGTTCAATAACCCTGCTGTTATATTACGTCACTTAATACACAATGTCACAATGAATGAACGAGGAACACACCTGTTTGTAAAGAACACGTTGTTACACATAACACAGCGACAAAAACAAGCACACCCCACAAGTTCATATTGCAGACTGAATAAATGAATAAAGTATTTTGAACTAGAACCACTGAGTCACAGACACCGAGTATTCACTACGTTTAAGTTTTAAAACATAATTAATGGACCGTTTACACAAGGTTAACTATTGAGAATGTTCACTAAATCAAAACATGGAGCCAATCGAATGAAAAACAAAATATTCATTTCACCATTCACATGTGGTTCATTATCAGACTTTATTCCGTTAATCATTGTACATTCGGACTCTAAAACGCATTTAGAAATGGTAAGGCGTAACAGATTTGAATAGAAAATGATTTAATTTTTGTACAAAAAAGATATTATCCGAATTATCATTGAATGAAGTGGTTTTATCAATAGAAACAGAAACAGAAACTTTTTTATTCAATATAGATCATAAAATAATATTTATTGAAAATTACTCTATTGTTTAATTACCACTGGTTCTTGTTTACTCTTAGTTACTCTTTTGTTTAATTTCACTGGACCCTTAGTAAAGAATATAAGTATTGTTCTTTTACTCATTTAGTTTTTAAACATCTTTCTTGTAGTTACCGTTACCGTTACAGTTAGAGTTCACTGCTGAACATAGGCCTGCCCCTTAGGGTTGGCAACCGCAGCTTTTTATTTTCAGTCGTTATTAGGAAGACGCTGCTGCCCATCTCCCGATTTGTTTCCTTCTGTTGTCTCTTACGACACCTACGGGATACTTTTCTTTACTTATTATCATATTATAAGGCAGCCCTAGATGGTAAATCGCACTGTCTTCGTTTAACAAAAGCCTATTCACTCTTACCGTAAAGACAATCAGATTGTAATCAAACGGAAAACAGGTTTCATTCCACTCATTTAATGTACCCGTTACAAAAGGCAAAGCAAACCGTTTGCTTCGAATGTGTGGAACTTCGTTTAAATTGAAATATCGACAACAAAGGGGTAGAGACGCCGGGTGTCGTCGGAGAAATTACGCTCATAAATTTTACATGTACATTTAATCATATACATAGATAAATTCGGGAGAGCACGCTCTCCCGAATTTATCTATGTATATGTTCTTTAAAATTTATTTTAACCTTTTGTCGTGCTAAGCCTAAGTTTTTAGTGGACAGCGGCGCATGTTCTATACAAATTTTGCGCACGCCGAACGCTGCGCCTCACTTTAACCTTTTTTTAAATAAAATAAGGGTGACAAACGAGCTCACAGTTCACCTAATGGTAAGTGGATGCTGTGCCCCATAGATATCTACATTCATCCTTAGTTAAGTATCAAAATGCAGACGTATTGTCACCCCTGAGAACTGAGATGGAATGCCTCGTTATCAGTAAAAAGGGTCGCCGATTCTCTACACTCACCATATCAAACAGTAGTATTAAGCTGCTATTTTACGCATGTGTTCTGTGAGACTACCCCTACCCCGGTCTAGCCGACCAATTCATACTACAAACATAATATAGCTGCAGCATGGCTCTACCACGTGTACAAACCTAGTAACTCTAATTCTTTGCTGATGTCAGTTTCTTCCTTTAGTCTATTCGTTTTTATATATCTTTTGCAGAGTAGTTACAGTTTTTTAAGGTCAACAATACTCCTCAATCAGCTTAGACTCGTCACACGTCTTAGGCCACACGTTGAATACCGAATTTTCTGCGGGCTTCCTGACCGAAAAGCCGAATATTAGGCAAAAGTGTTCACCTGGGAAGGAAGTAGTGTTTGTTTAGGGCGTTCTTTCCCTGAAGCTGGGATTGTCAACGAGCAAAAAAGGAGTAAACTTCTGCCTGAAAAAACTTTTCTGCACCATACTCTACCACTTATAAGTTTTAATAAGGATATTATTTGATAGCATTTTTTTTGTTAATTTTTATAACACGGAAGCTGGTTACTTTAATGATTACAAATAAATACATTATTTCAAATTTATCATTACGTGATAGAATCATGCTGTTTACGTGGTAGAGCCATGCTGCAGCTCTATTATGATTGTAGCACGAATGGGTCGGTTCGATCGGAGAAGGATCACGCTCTCAAAGAATATCAGCATAAAATAGCAGCTTAATGCTGTTGTGTTTCGTATGGTAAGTGTAGAGGACCGGAGACCCTTTTCCACTGGAAACGGGGCATTCCATCTTGGTCCGGGAGGGGGGGGGGGCGACAACGTATCTGCATTTTGATATAGATGTAGATGTCAATGGACTATGTGCTCGTTTGTTACCCTTATTCTATTAATAGAATAGGGTAAAAGTAGCCTAATAGGCCGAATACCAAACAATAGCCCAATATTCGTTGCTAATGTAATAAATACCATTCCTCTGCCCTTCGTTTTCCGAATTTAAAAAAGGAGGAGGATTATTTACGATTCGAGAATGTTTTTTGCATGACACGTCAATTTTGATGATTCTTTTTTGGTTTCATTTATACTTTAACCTGAAGGTTATTCTTTAAGAGGGCCCCTTTAGGATTTATTTTCTGTTTAGAACTCTGAAAGGTGTAGAGACAGTATAATTACAGGCTTTGAGGCATTCCATCTTAGTTCTTAGAGGTGACAACGCATTTGCAGCCTTCTTTCTTTGATGTTGTTGGCTTGGCTGTATCCATACGTTCATTTGTTACTTAGGTTTTATAAAAAAAACAGCTATCAATTAAGCTACTCTATGCATATTTAAAAAGATATTTTATATTTAATTGTTGTTTATTTTTGTATATTTTAATTATTGTTTATGATTATAACTTCTTTATTTTAAATTAAATTATGTATAAAGATTGATCCATTGAATATTTTTTCACCGATTGATTGGTCCAGGTGACATATGTTTAGGAGGGGTTGGAGATGTTGTAGGAATGTAGTTAGCAATCCTCCCAGAGGTTCGTATCCCAAATACTATCGATCTGGGCGGCACAGCCTCTCTGCGCAAGGTCGGTGCAGCCTACTCCGTTAAGGCGAAGTTTAAAAAGGATATTTTTTGTTTTCAGATATTTTTATATTAAAAAAAAAAGCAGTTTTGTCAGTATTTTCTAAATTACAATAAATTTCTAAAGGCCTAAAGGTTAACGATTAAGTTACTGAGTCGTAAAAATTTAAATGCTGAAAAGAAAATACCATTAATGAGGGCTAATAATTTTCTGCTAACCAGATGTCGCTAGCTGACACTGAGGTAAAGTTTTTTTTGTTACACAAAATCATTTAATTGAGAAGTTAGTTTTTAATAAAAGTTTATCAGTTTCTAGAGTATCATATTAATACACAAAACAATGCCTCAGTGGTTTGCTCTTTAATTTTTTGCACATTTTTAACCTTTTCAAAAAAAAATCTACTTTTATGAATATTTGTGGTTTGATTTATTTATTTTTAATCTTATTAATATAAAATATAGCTAACAATACAAAAATAAACATTAACCTTTGTATTTTTCACACAAATTAACTTTACCGCTATGAAGTCTGTCAAATATTATACCTCACTTTTAAATGGCGCCGCTCTGGTGGCAGAATAAGTCGTGGATAGCCTCATTGGAACAAAGTATTCAAACAGTTTTCGAGTTTGAATCTTGTAGTGCAATTTTGAATAATTTGTTAATTTGTGTGAGTCAGTTGTATCACCCCGTGTCTCGAAAAGCACGTAAAGCCGTTGGTCCTCCACCTGATCTCTCTCCGGTCGTGTCGGATTACCGTTCCATCGGACTAATAAGAGAGTGAGGGAATAGCAGCTATGCTTGCCGTCTACTTCCATTGAGACTGGCCGCCGGGACCAAAATCCGGTCTGGAGGACGTGTTTATATTTCTATTTAAGTCTTATTCCTTTTTAATTTATTTCGTGTGCACCTTCGCCTTAACAATCTCTCTTACTTCAATCAAACTTGCCCTTACAAAGTGAAGTGCTCGTTACAATGGGTATGTGGGGATATTAAGATGTTCCTTGTACGTGCGGGCCCCGTGTGAGCATTTCTCAGTTCTTTACTCATCTGTGTTGTGGCTTGATCAATTATTTTTAAAATGGTATGTAAGAGATAATTGTTAATTAGTCTTTTTTAGGTAATTGTTAATTATTGATTTCGTGATTTTTTTTTTGTGATTTCAACTACCTTAAAATCAAAGAATTTAGTGCTGTGTGTGTACAAGCCGTTATGTGGCGGATAAGTGTTGTAAAATGATTTTGCTTGGCAAACTGCCAGTAAGTCGCCCCTACCTAAGTGGTGTGAGGGAGATTTTGGGAAGTGCTTATGCAAAGTCAACCACAACTGCTCGCGCTGTACTATATTGATTGACGTATTGCAGACTGGTGTTGGGGAACAGTATTTCTAGCTTTTGTTTTGAAGTAAAGTGACAAACGAGCGCACAGTCCATCCACCAGATGTTTAAGTTGATGCTGTGACTCATAGATACTTACATCAGTCCTCGATTAACAATTAAAGTGCAGATATGCATTGTTATCCCTGATGACTACGTTCGTGCCTTTGATTATATTCGTGCGTGCATGTGTGCATTACAAAATTGTCAGTTGGGCGGATTTTTCAAGCGTCAGATAAAAGTTATCTATCCATCGAATAAACAACTTGACTAAATATAAAAGTAAATAATTTTAAAATGTAAGATCGGCTAATTATGCCAATTACGCCAAAACATGTCAGTTCCACATCATTGACCGTGTTTTAAGCAAATAAATTTTCTATCTATCTATCTAACAATTGAACTATTTTATATACTTACAATTGTCATTTTTAATTCGGGTCATAAGGCCGTTTTTTGCATTAAATGACAGTAATTTTGTGTTGGTTTCTTTTATAGTATAAGGGTGACAAACAAGCATACAGTCCACCTGATAGTAAGTGGTTGCTGTGGCCCATAGACATCTACATGTATCCTCGATTACAAATTATTTATTACATTACAATACAACGATTGTTTATTTTATAACTGTAAATTGAAACGTATTTTATCACATCTTAGTTTTATGTTCTTTGAAAAAAGTATTAATTAACATACGTGGTAGCGCCATAATGCAGCTACCACGTATGTTAATTGTACACGTGTAGCACGAATGGGTCGGCGCGACCGGAGAAGGACCACGCTCTAACAGAATACCAGCGTAAAATGGCAGCTTATGTTTTTTCATATAGGATAAGGGTGACAAACGAGCACACAGTCTATCTGATGGTTAGTGGTTGCTGTGACCCTTAGACATCTACATTTATCCTCAATAAAGAATCAAAATGCAGATGCGTAGTCACCCGCGAGGATTAAGATGGAATGCCTCTTTTCCATTAAAAAGGGTCTCCGGTTCTCTACACTCACCATACGAAACACAGCAGTGCGGGCACTGCTATTTGGCGGCAAAAATGGGTTAGAGGGTATTTACCCAGCCGAACTTTTAGATACTTTAAAATTAAAAATGTTATATAACCGACTTCAATATAAATTATTAATAATAACTCAAAAATTATTGGTCAGACCTTCATCAAATTTATATGCGACCACACGAGAAGCACTAGCTTTCAAATATTAAATAATCATCGAAATCGGTTCACCCAGAAATAAGTTATGAGGTAACACACATTAAAACAAAGAAAAAAACATATAGTCGAATTGAGTACCGTCTCCTTTTTGAAGTTGGTAGAAAAGCAGAACTTCCACTTAGAATTTGAACTGAATAGAAGACTACAAAGGAGAAAATACTCCATCCAACTTTTGTAGTCTTCAAGGAGTGTGCCCGATCCATGGCCACTTAGACTTTTTGAATTTTGGAGGCGTCGGTTTTCATATTTTATACTTTCAATATCTTTGTTAGAGATTCAATTGTGCAGAGAAACTCGTAGATTATACCCAGGGGCGTAGCTACCGCCGTATCAGCCGTATCAGTGATACGGGGCCCCCGGGCTACAGAGGCCCCGAACGTATGTAAGCAAAATTCTAAGGACTTCTATGGGACAGGATGTTGGTTTGAATTGTTGGGGTAGCTTAGTTTCTAGGAGTATTAATTATAAGTAATAACTTTTAATCAATATATAAATTCAATGCGACAGCTTTTGTGTCTTTTGTGAAAAATCTTTACCCTTCATATGGGCCCCACGACAAATTTTGATACAGGGCACTACTCCACTAAGGCACGCTACTCCACTGATTATACCATTTTGGGTTTCGTTAAAATAAATGTTTTATTAATAATTATAACGCGTAAAATTATGCCTATCTGATGAATATACAATACAAAATATACACGTTTTAAAATTAATACGATATATTGTTATTATATAAAAACTAGCCATCCGCTGAGACTTCGCACGTGTGATTTCTGGATTTCAACAACAGGACCACCTACCAGGTCCAAATTTCAAATTTCATCAAAATCGGTCAAGCCGTTTAGGCGGAGAAAAATTACGAACACACACACACACACACACCAGAATCTTATATATAGGTATAAAGACAATAAAATTTACTCAAAGAGCCTATCCACCTCGAATCGTTCCAGGCTGTATAATAATGTTTTACTCAAAATTGTAATTATAATCTTAAGAACATCATACATGATAAAAAATATTATTTCAGGCGAGAATGGAGCTGCCGGTTTTGGATAAATTTTGTTTTATTTTCAACTTGAGGACCGGATGTATCACTATGGGCGTGCTGAATTCCGTAAGTGTTGAATTTAATCTAAATTATAAACTATCAGGTCATCTATTTCTATATTCAGATATATATATATATATATATATATATATATATATATATATATATATATATATATATATATATATTTATTCGCGGTCTAAGCCATGTTTTATAAAATTCCGTAAATTCGTACTTCTGCTCACATTTGTGGTCATCACGTCCGCAGTTTAATGCCTAGATCGGATTTTTTTCTTTTAATGTGTTCTCTAATAATGATGTTTCTAAATTACCCTTAAAAGTTTTCAACTACTATGGGTAGTATTTTACAAGACGGCACTAAACATAAGTTAAAATTTTTTACTTTATTTAACTGCTAAGTTTGAGCACCTGTGGTGAAAAAAAAACGTATAGGATCTGTGTGGCCAACCATTTAAAAAGTTTGCCTATATCACAAGGATTCTAAAACATTAGCATACCATGTACTTAATGTCATTACTTACTGAGCTATAGCCGTTAATGTGTAATAGTAGGCATTTCAAATATAGATATAACAGTTCTGATTATATTATTATGCTATCTCTATTAAGTTTATGGTTGTCTAATGTAAAAAAAAATACGTATGTAGTGTAGGTTAAATAAATAACTAACTTAATTATATCATGTTTCGTTATCAAATGTCCTTAGACATAATATGTGTTGTAGAATAGAATAGACTTTTTTTTCAACCTATTACTACTAGAATAGAGTATTAATTTTTCTATCCATTTATACGGTAGTATCAACCAGGATCACAAAATATAATGGCGACGCACCGACAGTGTGCATATTTCCACGAATAATTTCGAACTACATTCAACCCCAACTCAAAAACTATTAGAACTAAACATTTGTAATTTTGCATATCTCTTTGAATACCTAGAACCTTAAATTTCATGAATAATCCTATTATAGTTCTTGATTTATTTGGGTCTGAATAGTGTCATTTTTTTTGTCACTGACTCCGCCAAGCTCCATAACAATTTCAACAACGTTGTACATATGGAGTGTAGAGTACAAGGAGAACCATCTTATAAGGGGCGAAAGTTGAAAAAGTGTCCTACTATTTACTGAAAATACAGGTTCCAAAACCTACCACAATAGCGCTGGCGTCTGAAAAACTACGATATGAAGATAGCTGTTGTGAACGGAGTGAAGTAAGCTGAATTCAAATATTTAAAAAATTTCATTAGTTAGTAAAATGCCAGTATACAAAATCTCAACTATTTACGTACTACAAAGCCAAGCCCATTGGTCGGTCCTTGTTTATTTCTCCATCTTATTCTAATTACTTTTGGCGCTGGCTATTGCAGCGCCACCCTTATTGGACACGTTTTTAGGGACACTTTTCATATATAGAAATGGTCCTCCTTCTATTCTACACTCCATAGTTGTACATACCCATAGATCCTATGCTTTAAGCAACTGCCATGGAGGTGGCGCCCGTTCAGATCTAAACTCTTTTATCAGCGAAGCCGACAAACCAGAAAGTCGTTTATACCGAACTTGGCGTCCTTTCCATATTTATTTTATTTGGTGGGATTTAGATTACAAGAACACTTATTAAAAATTATTTAAAGTTTCACCAATGATTCGGAAAAATCTTTGAAAGAAACCAACAGGAAACACAGCGGGACTTGTAAAACAATACAATACTATTGCTAAGGTACTAATTGAAAGAGTTATGAAAGAAACTGACGGAAAAATTTGGGATGTGCAAGCGGGATTTAGAAAGGGAATGGGATGTACGGATCAGGTCTTTTCCATGCGCATGATCGCCGAGAAGTTTTTGGCCAAAAACCAAAAAGTTTTTTGTGCGTTCATGGACTTGGAGAAGGCTTATGACAGAGTGGACAGGGATGTGTTATGGCAAACACTGAACTCATTTGGGTTGAGCGCTGGTCTGATACAGGCATTGAAGTCTCTATATAGGGACTCTAGTGCTTGTGTCAGGATCAACGGGGCCTACTCGGACTGGTTTGACATCCATAAAGGTGTCAGACAGGGCTGTGTGGCTTCCCCGTGGTTGTTCAACCTATTTATGGACAGTTGTTTGGAAAATTTGAAAGTAGAAGAATGCGGGTTAAGAATGGGTGAGTTAACCGTCAAATGCCTTTTGTACGCCGATGATCAAGTCATACTTGCGTCGTCGGCAGCCGAGTTGCAAATGATGGTTACATTAATGAACAGGACATTAAAAGAAAAGGGAATGAAAGTGAACGCAAGTAAGACGAAAGTTATGGTTTTTGAAAGAGAAGAAAGTAAAACGATATGTGAAATAAGAATAGAAGGGGAGTTGGTAGAGCAAGTAGATGAGTTTGTGTATTTGGGGTGTGTGTTTAGCAGGGATGGTAGATATGATAAGGATATAGAACGACGAGTGAATGCAGGAAATAGAGTGAATGGGGCTCTACACTCTATTGTGAAAAGTCAGAATGTGTCCAAAAAGGCACGTATGGCAATTCACAATGCTGTGTTAGTACCTGCTTTAATGTATGGTAGTGAAAGTTGGGTGTGGCAGAAGAAGCATGAGAGTAGAATAAATGCTGTAGAAATGCGGTCATTAAGGAGTATGTTAGGGATGAAGCTGAATGACAGAGTGAGAAATTGTTTAATAAGAGAAGAGTTTGGTTTGCAAGATGATGTTGTGACCAGGATTAAGAAAGGAATGCTTCGGTGGTTTGGCCATGTAGAAAGAATGAATGAGGAAAGAGTGACAAAGCAAATTTATGTTGCAGAGGTGAACGGCATAGTCGGGAAGGGTCGCCCTAGGCGAAAGTTTATCGACCAAATTGGCGATATATTAAAAATGGGCCAAATCAAGAGTAGGTACCTTTAATCGACGAGCGTGTATGCGTAGGTATATGGATGTGGAGGAAGCGAGAGAGGTGTGTCAGGATCGTGCCAAAAGGAAGTCCATAATCTCTGCCTACCCCTCTGGGTGACAGGCGTGAGTGTTTATGTATTATGTATGTACTATTGTATGTTTTAAAACTCCCTAGTAACAGTACAGTAGGAGCGTAAACAAATTCATCAATGAGGGCTAATAACTTTCTGCTCACCAGATGTCGCTAGTTAACACTGAGGTAAAGTTTTTTTGGTACACAATGTAATTTAATTAAGAAGTTGTTTTTTTAATAAAATTTTATCAGTTTCTAGAATATTATATTAGCACACAGAACGCCCTTTAATATTTTGCACTTTTTTAACTTTTTTTTTAATTTTCTACTTTTATGAATATCTGTGGTTTTCTTTATTTATTTTTAATGTTATTAATATAAAATATAGCCAATAGTACAGAAAGAAACAATATATAAAATAAATTTTACATTTTCCGAACAATTTAACTTATGCTATTACGCAATGAAATCTGTTAAATTCAAATATTATACCTCACTTTCTAGTGACGCCGCCCTGGTGGCAGAAAAAGTCGTGGATGCCTTTATTAATTTTGGAGGTATCTCAAGGTTGTTTGGCGCCTTTGACGTTGCTTTCTGTCGCCGGTCTGGGTATTTTATAGTGAGACACCGCTGACTTACTGATTCCGGGCTACTACTGAAAATTTCTTGACAGGAAATCACAATAACTGATTTCGGCCCGACCTGGGATTCAACCTCGGGACCTCATGACCAGCAATCACTTTAATGACCACTTGACCAACGAGACAGTTAACTTACTTTAATAAAAATATCTAATCCCTTTCAGATCCTAACGTTCGTTATGGCGGTGATCCTCATCACTTTCGCAGTTGGCATAAAGGCAACGACGGAGTCAAGGCTGAGGCGAGATGACAGCGACGCCGCTATGTCGTCTGTCGTCTATACAATAATCGTTCTTCTGGTCGTGCTTCTGTTCTTCAAGTTTCTACTCGATTTGGTCTTCGCCTACGCAGTTTATAAGGTAAGGCTGATCTAAAGGGTTCAGTATTCGATTTTTTTTATAGAATAAGGGTGACAAACCAGCACACAGTCCAACTGATGGTAAAAAGATATTGTGGCCCTTAGACATCTATATCTATCCTCCTTTATGAATTAAAATGCAGAAGCGTCGTCAGCCGTGAGGACTAAGATATAATGCCTCTTTTCCAGTAAAAAGGGGTCTCCGGTTCTCTACACTCACCATACGAAACACAGCAGCATTAAGTTGCTGTTTTACGCTGGTATTCTGTGAGAGCGTGGTCCTTCCCCGGTCAAGCCGACCCATACGTGCTACAACTATACCACTAATATAGCTGCAGCATGGCTCTACCACGTATAAAATAATTATTATAATCATAAATACAACCCCCTAAGTTCGTATTGAATGAGTTTTTCTGGAAATAGCCATACATTGGAATTATATGAACATAGACGGTTGTATTGATGATTATAATTCTGTAAATACATACTCGTTACGGTCGCGAATCATATTTTGTCAAACATACAACCTGACACTGACCTGAAAACTGCAAAAAACGTAAGAAAATTTGAATTTCGCGGGCCACCCTGGCGCTTCCACCTTAAAACGTCATGCTTTAAATCTAGTGGGAAACGCTTTACACTGCGTTTTCCGATATAAGACTGCCACTCAAAATCTTGATAGGTGGTGGAATCACACGGGAATTCTCCACTCGACTTCGTCCCAGGGATTGAGTAAGAGGAGTCAGAGGGCATTTGCGAAATAGAAGAGCAGCAAAATCTAAATTGACTACTTCAATTACTCTTAAATGGTCTTTAGAAACAAGTGGAGTGCGTTATCCAGTATTGTAATGTTTTAACGTTTTTATTTTATACGTTTAAGGAAAAATGTGGAATCATGAAGAAGTACTGCATCTTCTGGATCGTGTTCTTGGTGCTGTTTATCATCGCTTTCCTGAAGACAATATTCCAGATGGATGCCGGATACGTGATCGCCCAAATACTTTTCCTTGGTGAGTGTCTCTAACACTAATAGTAATGTAGTCAATTCAACCTAAAGTCGTATCCAATAACTAGCACGGAGCACGGAGACTAAGCGTCTTAAAGTCAAAATCAAAGTCACAATTTTCTATAGTTCAATTTAGGCTTTAGGCTCCACAGCAGTTTAGAAAACAAGACCCTCTCAGAGATGAACCGGCAAGAAACTCTGGGTTTTTTCAACAGACTTCAAAAAAGAGGGACGTTCTTTATTTGACTGTATTTTTTAATTTATTGTATTTGTGATGATTTTTTTATTATTTTTATTTATTTGAAAGCCTTTTTTTATAGGATAGGGTGACAAACGAGCATACAGTCCACCTAAAGGTAAGTGGTTGCTGTGATCCATAGACATCTACATCTATCCTCGTTTGCGAATCAAAATGCAGTAAAATGGTATTCTGTGAGAGCGTGGTCCTTCCCCGGTCGAGCCGACCCATTCATGCTACAACCATAATATAGCTGTAGCATGGCTCTACCTCGTATAAATTTCACAATTTCATATGTATGCCAGACAAACGTTAAATACCGAGATCTATCCACCTGCACAGCGTAGTGACCACGCAAATCTGTATTTAAAGGACCAGCTGTAGCACGCATGTGTCGGCTCAACTGGGGCAGGACCACGCTCTCACAAAATACCAGCGTAAAATAGAAGCTTAATAAAAAATTAAAAAAAAAAATCCCTAAGCGTCGTTGTAACAAGTAATTAAAGTGAGAAACATTCCTCGTTAAATAAACATTATTAATAACATTTCTGTTCCAGCTGAAAACTTTTACTTCATTGTCGTCATACGGAGCTATCTGATATCTATCAACGAAGACGGTGTCTTATAAATAACATCCGTGCCAATTGACACTACGCGAGCGAAAGAGACGCACGATGAACCACGCTTTTGTGGCAACACTCGCGAATGTACCAATATATTATTAGAGAAATATATTATAGAGTATATTAGAGACGTAAGTAGTTTCCAAATATGTGATTTTTACTATTTTTAATTTGATTAGTTCAGTTGATATCTACTTAAAGTTTATTTGAACAACTGTTATCTCTTATTTGATAATGTTCCACAGCATAGCTACCTACAGAGCAAAATCTACACTTTCATACACAAATTAATCACTCTACAATTTAGGGACGAAAAATGATTTGTGACCTTTATGTGATTTGTCCAAGGTTGAAACATATTTTATATATAGTTTATAAAAACAAACAAATATAATCTCATATAAATAAACTACACGTAAAATGAAATGAAAAATCCATTTTCATCAATTTTTCATTCATAGTTATTATCGAAAGTGGACGTAACTGTCGAGTAATTAAACATTGACCAATGGAACTGACCGAACTTCACCAGGAATCATTTGCAGTGATGTGACAAACGTAAAAATGGGAAGGAAAAAACTTAAAAACATATTTTTTTAAGTTGTCCACACAATGTATTATATCGCGGTACCTGTGCCATAATAAATGAAAACGTGATAATTACTTGACATAATTCATACAATGAAATTATTAGCAGCAATTTGAATGTCGATTTACATCGCGAGGCAACCTGCATATTTAAGAAATTAAAAAAGTCGATTAAATGTGAAGTTCGCAGGTTCACCATATTAGGTAAGATATATGGAGGTGCTCGAATTACTCTTCCATGCTCCAAAATCTGTCACTGAAATAAAAGGAAACCTTTGCCCATGTACAATTTTAGTATTTTAATACACTGACTGCACGTCATAAATTTGTATAAAATCTTGAGATCTCAAAAAAGTCATCATGATTCTATCACATTCTGATGATGTGGCTGGAATTCAGACTTTTGGCAGTGAGAAGTCATGAGAAATTATCTTTTAAAATGAATTGTGTACATACTACTTTACATTTTGATTGCACATTGCGTAGTTTTTGGAAGATTTCGCCGACAGCCTCAGTCCACAAATCAAGTCTCAAGGCGTCTAATCGGCAAAATAACACGAGTTTTATGTCACATTTAGAGCATTTGTTTTATCGATTCCACTAATAATGCACAGAAGCAGACAAAATACAAAACTTTCCACTTCAAAATATCATTTAAGCAATGATACAGGAGCAGTAATTTGCCAAGATTCCTTCAAAACACTCGAACTAAGGTTTTTGCTCACGATCATAAACGAAAATGGGATTAATGGCATCATCATTGCTACCCGTTTATGCAATGATGCTTTTTGTGTGTGAGTTTCTATATCTGGTCACTGAAAAAGAAATTGTGGTATCTTATTATATTACGTTGAATCTTTTAAATTCGTATGAGCACTTTCAAATCTTCTTCGATGACTTAAAATTTCAAATCAACGACATAAAAATGTTTACATATTATTGGATTTGTCGCATTAACTTTTAGAATAAGCCTACTCGTATAACTAAGTTGAACAGTAGACTCGTATCATTTAGGACATATTTAGATGGCACATTTAGGATATATATTTAGAAGCTTGAATTCACACACTTGTACTTTTTTGTACCTATAATTATTTGTTAACATTGCACTATCTTTTATTATCATATTTGTTATGCATAATGTTCATTTATGTTTGGATTATAATGAAAATGATTTTCGATGGTAAAATAGAAAAAGGTTGTGATCTTAACTCGCTGAAAGCGTGCATGTATGCCATGCAAGCAAAATGTGAGTATTCATATCAATAGAAATGGCGCATTCGCTTCTGTGTTTGTGATATATTAATCAATATCGTTATTTTAATGTTAATTAGCGTTTGTCTTCCATTGAATAGGTTAGGACTCAACATTGTTTCTTTGTATTATTGTTGAGGAGTTAATAGCAACTTTTGTAAATTTTCAGTCACGAATACCAAAGTGAGGGAGAGTGCAGAAGCTTCACACAAACGTATTGCAATGCACGCACTCAAGCGCGGAGTTCATCTACAGAAGCAGACAGAGAAAATAATGCGATATCGATATCGATATGCGAGTCCCCCGCTTATGTGCGTGCATTATGAGACATTTGTTTAAAGCTTCCTACTCCTTTTCACTCTGCGAATACTGTGTGTCTGTGTTACTTAAAAATGTAACATATCATGTAATATCTCTTAGTAAATTTAATTTTTCATATCAAGGGTTTTAAGATAATTACTTTATACCAAATGTAATTTATCAAATGAAATAACTCACATTATGTCATATTAGAGTAGGTTTTATAAAATAACAAAAACACTACCTACTATTTTTTACTAACAGGATTATTTTAAGGTCATGTAGCGAGTAAAAAATTGTGTTTAATATCCTTTATGATTGCGACTGTACGAGTATTTGAAACAATATCTTAAGTTTTAAATTTTACAAATTATACATTTTTAAAAATATAAAAATTTTATAAAACGTCATATTATATATTTATTTTACAAATTTTGATAACCCTGTTCTATATTTTTTAATTTTATAAACTTATATGTGTATTATAAAACGAACTTCTGCATATCATGCAAATTATTTTTCGCTATAAAAATATTTTCCTATGATCTCAGACCACCAAAGAAAGATAGACAGAACACCACGTAAGTGACCCCGAAACTATGCTCAATTTATTTGTTTATTATATGGACAACAAAACAGATAATAATCAAATCAGACTAAAAAAAACACTTTTATAAGAGTTCTGTACCAGATTGTTATTCTAAATATGTTGACACATTATTAATATATTTATTACAGAAGAGATCAACTTTGATGGACTGTCTATATAACATACATAACTAACTATATGCTTAAAACCAAATGTGATATGGGAATAAGTGTGTATAAGAGTAATCTGTTTAAATTATTTTAAATTTATTGTAAGCATGAATGGGTATTCAGACACACACATACATCTAAAATCATTTGCAACCATCAACGTGGTTATAGGTGCATATTACACATTTCCGGGCTGATGCTGATAAAGAGAGTAAGAAAAAAAGATGTATATCACTTGAAATGTAGGTACGCAGTATTCCGTTATCTTTATTTGTTGGTCTGATTCAATGATATACAATTTCCAATAAATATATATTATATTTCGAATTACTTCTATAATATCGAATTTATGGTGTCACATCACTTAGCACGGTATTTTTTTTAAATATTTTCACTGACATGTCCTATCTAGTGTAATTGTATTGATTTAATTTTTGTTTATCTGTGTGTGTTTTGCCAATGTGTAATTGCTGCACCAAAGATTACAGACAAAATATTTTAATTAAAGTGAAAACAATGGAAAAGTCGCAGATAGCTTTAATCTTATTAAGTATCGCATAACAATTTTTTTTATGAACGATGTTAGTGTCCTTAAGAAAATCGATTGATAATTCGTTTTGAGTAAACTATATTATTTAAAATACGTGAGTATGCTCACGGTATATCCTTACCAAGTTATAAAAAAATATTGATAAACTGAGGTCCACTACTTTTTAATAATATAGGAAATTGATAAACATGTTATTTCTTATAATTTAAAATGAGTTTTGTAATTTTTAAATATATAATATCTACAGTAGATTAAAATTGTACTACAACAAAGTGTATTCAAGAGGTAGAGAAAAATGTATTTAAAGTAGATACTGGATATCCATAGTTGCTTAATTTATTAAAGGTATATCATAAGCATGTGTATGTAACAGATAAACTAACGACAATAAGACGTCCTTTGCTTTAATTAGCTCATAAATCTGTGTAACTAGGCATCCTCTCTGCTACAGTAAACAAGTTATAAAATATACTTTGAAAAAATCACAGATTAAATTATAACGACTGTTAGCAAATTTGACGATACAGATATTTTTTATTATTAGTAGATTATTTGTCACCAATCATTATTTTTTTTAAAAAGCTATAAAGAAAATAAATCTATTTGTAATTATTTAACACACCAAACTCTTCAAAACCATTATGTCAAAATGCAAAAAAAAAAAACCGGTTGCAAAGAATGTTTGTAAACGGTAGGCTTCCGAACTCGACTTGCAGGGCCTAGGGATAAACATGACAACTAATTTAACAAACGTAGCGATTGGGTATTAAAATGAAAAAAAAAATATTTTTACTGATTATGAGCTAGTGCTTGGCTATAATACCATGTACTCATAAACTCACTCAAAAAAAAAAAAACTCATAAGAAACCAAATACATCAAAGACGTTTAATTCCTGATTGTTATAAACAACATTATATAACAGCTAGCTTGGTTTTCCATTTTAGTTCTCAGGGGTGACAACACATCTGCATTTTGATCACAGGCATCATATTTTTTTGATACAAGCTACATCTATGGTCTATAGCATCCACTGGACGTTCTATTAATGCATCATCAAGTTTGCTAACGTTGTAATTTTCTCAAAAAAGCCTATTTACTAAATTATTTACTCCCACATAATTATAAAGAAACTACATATTTATATACAGACTACTGCTCCCTATTTCAAAATGGCATGGTATCTTTATTTTTTTTTACACTTATAATTAATTATAATATAAAAATGAAATTATTTATACCGAAGAAATGCTACAGTTCAATATTCTGAACATTCCCTTTTTAAATTATATAAAATCAGATACGTATCAATCTCTTGTCAAGTTTATATGAATAGAGATTATTCTGTCTTTACTAAAACATGTACTCAAACTATATACCTATAGATATTTGTTAGAAGTGTTTTATATATATATAAATAAAAAGGGCCTATTCACTTTTCTATCCGACTGTAAACTAGTTTTTTCTTTGTGATTCTTAGAGATAAAAATTAATGTTGAGTGTTTTAGATGAATTAAAAATATAACAATGACATCTGTCTGAGACAGATAAAATC